TTCAGAACTCCTCCCAATAATTAATCCCCCCCCCCCCAGTATTTTTAATCAGCTTTATATTTTCATTATAATTTGATACTCTATCAACCAGTTTTCTCATATTTGCCATCAGGAACTGGTTATTATGGATTCCTCTAATAAACAGTTTAGCAGACTACACTTGCCTTTCTCTGCACTTATGTAGCTGCTTATGGTAATTAATCTTTACAAAACTGAACGTCATACAGTTCCAAGCACTTTAAGGATATGATCTAATTAATGTATATTCTTATAACATGTCATTGACTTTGTGTGAGTTAGAGTTCTATAGCAGGCTTTAGATTGCTATATTTTATTTTAAAGGGACACTATAGTCACCCAGACCACTTCAGCTCAATGAAGTGGTCTGGGTGCTAGGTCCCCCAGGTTTTAACCCTTCAGGTGTAAACATAGTAATTTTAGAGAAAGTGCTATGTTTGCATTGCAGGGTTAATCCAACCTCTAGTGACTGTCTTCCTGACAGGCTGCTAGAGGCGCTTCTGCGACGCTGGATGCGAAAACCGCATCCAGCGTGCAGAACGTCCATAGGAAAGCATTGAGAAATTTCCTATGGACCGTTTGAATGCGTGCGCAGAGCTGACGTCAGCGGGGGAGGAGAAGTCACCAGCGCCGAGGGAGCCTGGCGCTGGATTAAAGTAAGTAACTGAAGGGGTTTTAACCCCTTCAGCGCCAAGGGAGGGGGACCCTGAGGGTGGGGGGACCCTAAGGATGATATAGTGTCAGGAAAACGAGTTTGTTTTCCTGACACTATAGTGATCCCTTAAATTGCAATGTCTGTTTATGTGAGCAAAAAAAGAAGGAAGTTTATAGGAGTTACAGGATTATTTAACATTATCCAGATTTTACAATTAGCACTTTAAACTTAAATGAAAAAGCCTATGGGCGTCAAAAAATAAGTATCAAGAGAAGTGAGACTTGCTTGTCAGTGTGCTCTGATAGGTTGACTAACCAGTCAGCTATCCACCCCCATTATTTAATTCAATATTCTCTGCTTATTGCCCAAGGGGCATGCTGCGCATGCACATCAGGCCCCCAATTCTCCTCTATGTGGAGCATTAAAGGACCACTCTAGGCACCCAGACCACTTCAGCTTAATGAAGTGGTCTGGGTGCCTGGTCCAGCTAGGGTTAACCCATTTTTTCATAAACATAGCAGTTTCAGAGAAACTGCTATGTTTATGAATGGGTTAAGCCTTCCCCCTAATCCTCTAGCGGCTGTCTCATTGACAGCCGCTAGAGGCGCTTGCGTGCTTCTCAAATGCTAAATGTGCGTGCAGCTCTTGCCGCGCGTGCACATTCAGCCGACGGGGAGGAGAGAAGGAGGATCGGAGAAGGAGAGCTCTCCGCCCAGCGCTGGAAAAAGGTAAGTTTTAACCCCTTTCCCCTTTCCAGAGCCGGGCGGGAGGGGGACCCCTTCCAGAGCCGGGCGGGAGGGGGACCCTGAGGGTGGGGGCACCCTCAGAGCACTATAGTGCCAGGAAAACGAGTATGTTTTCCTGGCACTATAGTGGTCCTTTAAATTGGAACGACTCCAGAGGAGGCTATGCCTCATCTGTGACATTGTAGAGGGAGGAGAGGTAAGCAGAGCCTTGGTGCTGAATGAAAGTAAATAAAGAAACAATGTATACTTTTTGTATGCCGAAATCAGGGGGAGGGAGGGGGGTGAGGTTGGGACCTTTGGCATAAAAATTAACAAACAGAACTTTTTAGGGACAGGTACACAAAACCTTTGTATTCCTAACGCTTTAATAATTAATAATATTTTGGCATTTATACAGTAACAACAATTTTGAAATGCAATCCAATATGTATGTGAGGATACAACAATGAGATAAAAACTATTTCCATAATTTTATTTTCTACAACAGAAGAAGGAATAATAGCCTTACATGAGTTATGGAGCAAGATTTCCTGTTTGCTCAACAGCTGGCAGAACCTTCCACGATACAAACAGTCCGAGGCCTGTATCATTGCCACTACTTCTGTTTGTATAAGAGAGAAACTGTATCAGCACAATCATTGCATTGCTGTAAACATTCTATTACTGTGGCTTCACTTACCCTATGAATTGTTCTGTGATTGATCTTCAGAAATCCTCCTGCCTAAACACACAGGTTTCTTTTGTATTCTGTCATTCATTTAATAGCATATTATTGTACCAGAAAATCAGTGAATGCATAAGGGAGGTGGTGGAGTAGGGCTGGGATTAGGTTAGGGGTAAGGTTAACAGTAGGGTTAGGGTTGTGCTTAGGGAATTGCTGAAGTCCCGAATTCCAAATTTTGGAAGTACCGAATTCCGGAATTTCGGATTGCTGAACCGAAGTGCCGAATTGCTGAAGGCCCCGAATTTTGTAATTACCGAACCGAAACAAATTTTTTTGCCCATGAACATCCCTAGTATTTTTGCCTGTATATCTATGTCTATATGGCTTGAGACACACAAAACGGATTGAGGGGAGAAAGATCCACACAAGGGGGCTGCGGTGGAGAAAGAGGCAAAGAAAGGCGCTTGAGGGTGAAAGAGACACAGAAAGGGGATGGAGAAAGAAAGACATGCAATAGGGTAAGAAAGAGACACACACAGAGGCTGGGAGAAGGAAGATACTCAAGGGGGGTTGTAAGACACACTAAAGTGGGAATAAAATACACTAAAGGGGTATAACATTTAAAAGAGGGGATATGAAACACTAAACAGGGTAATAAAAAAATTAAATGGGGAGGTTGTGAAACACAGGTGAAGATGCATTTTTTTGGGCGGCAGTGGGTGGTAAAATGCATCCTTGTTTGTGTAGCCCAAAATCCTTGGCTACACAGGCAGCAGGTCACACAAATTACCCAACCCTGCCTTGATTTAAAACAACACTATAGACATCAAAACAACTTTAGCTTAAAGGGACACCGTAGGCACTGTATCTGCTTCATCTCATTAAACTGGTTATAGTGTATGTAGTCCCCTGGTGCCATCATTTCTTTCAGCATTAAACAGTTTTTAATGTTGTAATGTTTTAATGCTAAACAAGAGACCACGGCAGTCCATCCCCTCTGTGCTGCTTTGGCTAATAAGAAAGTATTACCATGAGCAGCAATGAGCAGCTGTGATTGGCTGAGAGTGCCAGCTGACTGCTTTTAACCTGTCAGAGCTCCAACTGACGGTATGAATGGGTATGACAACAAGGAAGTGTGTAATCTCTGCCTTAGCTACACATACAGAAGGGGCCGGACTGTGGGTGGCCAGGGACTCTTATTTTGTGGCATACTGCACAAACATGGTGCAACACTGAATGGAGGGACAGTGCCAGGGCATTCCAGGCACTATAACAATTCAAAGAGACAAAGTGGTTATAGTGACTACAGTGTCCCTTTAATGAAGCAGTTTTACTGTATACTGTCTCACAGCTCAATTCTCAGATATAGGAGTTGAATCATGTTTGCTTATGCTGCCCTAGAGACACCTCCCCTGGCTGTGACTCACACAGTGTGCATGAAAACATTGGTTTCCTTTCCAATAAGATCTGACAAGGCAGTGTATTTACTTTAGAACTTCTAATCTCCTGCTCTGTAAATGTAACTTTACACACACACACACATACACACACACACACACACACACTTTCTCTCTCGATCGAGCTGGATAAGACATTCTAAATTTAACAGAATGCACAATAAAGGAAGTTTAAACATTAGTTCTCTCTGAAGTGTTTAGGAAGGCTGTGTAAAGTCACATGAAGGGGAGAAGTGACTTGGGTTGCATAAACATTTAACTTCTAAATGGTAGAGAATTGAGCAGTGAAACTGCAGGGGTATGATCTATTCACCATTGTTTTGGTGACTATAGTGTCCCTTTAATAAGCTTTACAAATGATTCAGTAGTATTGGGAAAACTTTCTAAATTATTTATCTACAAAGGTCACCATTAACCCCTAACGCCGTTACGGCGTTCTATGCCGTCGCGGCTTTAAAGGGATTTAAAGCCGTTGCAGCAGCATAGAAAGCCGTAACGGCTTAAGCCCCCAGGACCTCGGCGGTACTTACCTCCGCCGCGATCCACTTCTGGAGGGCTGCCTGACAGTCCAGGCAGCCCTCCTCCGGCAAGTGAGGCCCCCAGGGGCCATGTGATCGCTCTCAAAGAGCGATCACGTGGCCCCCTATAGCTGGCTGTGGATCTGCCAGCAGGGGGGCTGTCTGAAATATCAGACAGTCGCCCTGCTGGTAGGTAGTGTAAAAAAAAAAATTAAACATGTTTAAAAATAAATTACAAGTATTTTTATATATATAATATATGTATATATATTATATATATAATATATATACATATTATATATGTAACGTCATACAAAGTGTATTTTAATACTAATATTAGTATATATATTAATATTAAAATACGCTTAGAATGATGTTACATATATATAATATGCAGGGGCGGACTGACCGGTCGGGCACTTCGGACACGGTCCAAGGGCCCGGCCGGGAGGGGGGCCCGCCGCCAGGGCCGCCTTCAGGGGGCCCGGCGGCAGGGCTGGATTGGGGGCGGCATTTGGGGACTGCAGGTGCCACCGGGTGGCCGGCCCGGTGGCACACTGTGAGGGGGGGGCAGCCGTTTCATGTTAGAGCCGCCGGACCGGGTGGCAGCCTCGCCGGTCCGGCGGCATTCCTCTCACTAACACAGAAGGAGGGAAGAATGAGACACGGGGAGAAAGAGGGGGAATAGAGAGATGGGGAGGGGGAGAAAGAGACAGAGAGGGAAGAATGAGACACGGGGAGAAAGAGGGGGAATAGAGAGTTGGGGAGGGGGGAGAAAGAGAGGGAAGAATGCCCCCCCTCCCCTGTCCGCAGGCACCGTGCGGGCAGGGGAGGAAGAGAGGACCTGGGAGCTCACCCTGCAGCTCCTCTGGGTCCCTCTTGCGCGAGCACAGAGCGTTGCCGCGGTTACCATGGCAACGTTACTGCTCTTGCGAGAGTCAACTCTAGCCCTGGAGCTACGGGCTAGAGTTCACTCTCAACACTGTAACCCCAATGGATTCCTGGTGGTCGCAGTGGTGAGAGTGAACTCTAGCCCCATAAACACACTGCCCCCACACACACACACCATACACATTCACACACTGCCCCCATACACACCATACATATTTACACACATTGCCTCACACACACACATACACTGCCCACCCATATACACACAGACCCCCATACACAGCCCCCATACTAACATTGCCACACACATACACTGCCCACACACCCTACACATTCACACACTACACCCCCACACACACACTGAACCTTTCACATACATTGCACCACTGCTCCTATTCCCTACTACAGCCCCATATCCCAGCAGACCCCAGGTAAGTTGTCAAACTGTTTTTAAACGGTTTGACTACTTACTCTGGAGCAGTAGTGGTTATTGTGCATGGATTATTTCTTTAAATAATCTACAAGTGCCCCAGTAGCCAGCCAGCCCACAGGCCAGTAGCCAGCCAGTTAGCCAGCCCACAGGCTGGCCAGTAGCCAGCCAGTTAGCCAGCCCACAGGCCAGTAGCCAGCCCACAGGCCTACAGCAAGCCACAGGCTTACAGCCAGCAAGCCGCAGCCTGCCAGCCGCAGTCAGCAAGCCCACAGCCTGCCGGCAGTAGCCAGCAAGCCCACAGCCTGCCAGCCGCAGCCAGCAAGCCCACAGACTGCCAGCCAGCAACAGTAATTAAGGTAAGAGGAGCCAACTTGGCTTAGGTATCAGCGAGCTATGTTGTGTTGCTATATTGTGAATAGGAAGAGAGCTGGAGAGACCACCCTCCAGGCCCCATTAGACTCTAGCCTCTGCTAGAAATCCCCTCCATGGCCCATTAGCCCTCAATTGTAGTTTCTACTGGGGCCTGGAGGCGACTGTTTCCAGCAGGGGATATCTAATGGACGCTGAGATGGCCTCTGTTAGAAAGACCCCCTTCCAAGCCTTTTAGACTCCATTGTAGTCTCTAATGGGGCTTGGAGGGGATTCTTTCTAACACACTCTCTAAAGGACACTGAGATAGCCTCCGCTAGAAAGACCCCCCTCCATGGCCCATTAGCCCTCAATTGTAGTCTCTACTGGGGCCTCGAAGGGCTTATTGCCCTTTTGTTCCTTGTGTCTAAAGATTGTGTAGGGTGTGGCTGGAGGCGGTGCATGGAGGCGGGACAAGGGTGGCGCTTGCTGCAGAGTATGGGTGGGGCCTGTAAGGGGGCCCTTGATTTATTTTGCCCGAGGGCCCTGAGGGTTCTCAGTCCGCCCCTGATAATATGTATATATTATATATATATATATAATAGATATATAAACATATATTATATATATATATACGTATAATTACAATAATAAATCAATAAAATAATAAAATAAATATTGAAACAAAATGTAATATAAATTATATATTCATATGTAATTTCATTCTAACTATATTTTGTTATTGATATATATATATATATATATATATATATATATATATATATATATATATATTGGTATCAAAATACACTTAGAATGACATTCTATATATATCTATTTATATATAAAATACAAATAACCGCAAATATATATATATATATATATATATATATATAGATAGATAAATACATATAATTACATAAAAGATTACATTAGTATACATGTAGAATTTAAATACCTATAAATGCATATATATTAAAATTCTACGTGTATATTTAAATAATCTTTTAACATAATTATGTGATTTGATTAATTAAAATTTGATTGACATGCCTGACAACACAGGGAGAAAGTGCAGAGAATTTAATTCGCAAGCACTATATTTGACCCTATAACTCTCCAAGACACCATAAAACCTGTACATAGGGGGTACTGTTTTACTCGGGAGACTTCGCTGAACTCAAATATTAGTGTTTAAAACTGGTAAATTGTATTACAATGATGATATTTTAAGTAAAAGTGACATTTTTTGCATTTTTTACAAACAAACAGCACTTTTATGGACTATATTATTGTTGTAATATCTATATTACAATATAAGTCTGCCGAGAATAACAGTACCCCCCATGTAGAGGTTTTATGGTGTTTTGGAAAGTTAGAGAGTCACATATAAGGCTTGCATTTCATTTTTTTGACATTGAAATTTGCCAGATTGGTTATGTTGCCTTTGAGACCGTATGGTAGCCCAGGAATAAGAATTACCCCCATGATGGCATACCATTTGCAAAAGTAGACAACCCAAGGTATTGCAAATGGGGTATGTCCAGTCATTTTTAATAGCCACTTAAGCTGAAGTGGTCTGGGTGCCTAGAGTGGTCCTTTAATGTAGTTGTTATGGCATCTATAGTCTGTCCTTACAGGATTTTCAATGTAAACACTGACTTTTCAGATAAAAGGCAGTGTTTACATTGGTGCCTAGTAACACCTCTAGTGTCAGTCACTCAGACGGCCACTGGAGGTGCTTTCAAGTCCAGTGCTGAAAAGTGTACAGTACTGGCATACAGTGTATCCACGCTCTTCATTGAAACACTGAATGTCCCCCATAGAAATGCACTGATTGGTGCATGAGGAGATGATGATTACTGCAGCACGGTATTTTGCCGGACATGCGCAATAGCCTCCCAATGCTTTTTTATGAGAAAGCAATTGGATTGGTTGAGATTATCAAGATTGGAAGCAGAGCCAACTATGGTGAGACCGGTGCGGCGAGGGGGAAAAGGTGAGTAACTATACATTCACATGCAATTGGAGGGTGGTTGGTTTGTATTCCTGACACTAAAGTGCTCCTATTATTTCTTAGTGAATATACTTAAAATGGCTGTGTTCTAAAGTTGAACATGATAGCAATATAAATGTAACTATCCAGGAATGTTACATTTAGCCTGTTGCCAGTTTGAAAGTACCTCGTGAAATGTAGATGATAATTTTACTTAAAGGATCACTATAGAGTCAGGAATACAAACATGTATTCCTGACCCTATAGTGTTAAAACCACCATCTAGACCCCCTGGGGCCCTCATGCCTCCATAAATATAGCAAAATCTTACTGTATTCAAGCCTGAAGCTGTAACTCTGCATGCTGTTTGCCTCAGAAAAACAAGCAGTCTGCTGACATCATCAGAAGTGGTAGCCTGATCCAATCACAATGCTTCTCCATAGGATTGGTTGAGACTGACAAATAGGCAGAGCAGGGGCAGAGCCAGAATGATTCAAACACAGCCCTGGCCAATCAGCATCTCCTCGTAGAGATGAATTGAATCAATGAATCTCTATGAGGAACGTTCGTGGCTGCATGCAGAGGGAGAAGATACTAAATGTTTGGATACATTTTAGGCAGCCATGACCCAGGAAGGATCTCTAACAGCCATCTAAGGAGTGGCCAGTGAAGTTATCACTAGGCTGTAATGTAAACACTGCATTTTCTCTGAAGAATGAAGAATGATTCTATTCACCAGAACAAATCCAATAAGCTGTAGTTGTTCTGGTGACTATAGTGTCCCTTTAATTTAATGATACTCTTTTTATGAATCCTGACATACGGTAGATGGGCAGCTAACCGCTGAGCTATCTCACCACATTTAACAATGTGGTGGAAATTCAGACATTACGAACTCTCAGGCACTAATAAAGTGAACCAAGTTACAACATCGCCATTTAACTTTGTTTTTTTGAGAAATACATGTTCTAAATTTCCAAGTGCATTAGAGGAATGTTTACATACAAGATAAAGGCTGAAGCTGTAAGGAACTACGTCCTGAACTTTAGGTGATATTATTATTACTCAGTTTAATGATACGCATTTTATGAACCTCGGAATGGCTGAACTGGCCTTTCCAAAAATGACAAATATGATTCTAATGTACTGTACACTCACCAAAGGTAACTATGTAGTAGAAATTCAGACATAGTAAGTGACGACATTGCCATTTAACTCTGGTTTTGTTTTTGAGATATACGTACTTGCTTTAAATTTCCAAGTGCATTAGAGGAACAGGTCAATGTTTACATACAAGATAAATTTTGAAGGTGTAATTATCTCTAGATAAATGCTGGTGTGTAGCTACTTGTTTCTTTCCTGCTAAACACAAGATAGGTAAATCAGCTACAAAACATGGCTGGGAAAACACCACCCTGAACTAACATTTTGAAGGTTGTGTTAGTAGAAAGGGTTGTATGATTTTGTTATTTTGAAAGGAGACTCTTAGGCAGGGAAGGCAATATTGTGTGAGTAGTAGCTCAGAAAACAAAATAGCTACATTTTTTGCAGCAATTAAAAAACACAAGTGACAATTTATTTTCTAATTACTGTTACTTATATTGAAACAATTAACTTACTATACTTGTGATTTTAGAGCAAGTGTGTTCAACATTTAGCAACCATCTGTTTTTGGCACATATTTGTCCACATTCTGTGGTCTTACAATGTGTGGTACATCTAACTTGTGCACCCTTCTGTAGAAACTTCCTTCAAGAATTTAAAATCTCAGATAAGCTACACTTGTGGTTTTGGAAAACACTGGAATCCCAGAGACCATTTATTTATTTCAAATAATTTAGCGGACGTGTATCACAGTGCCTTTGAATCGGTATCATTAGAAGGAAGTATTTTGTCTCTGCCATAGCTATACCTCCAGAAGGGGCCAGACTGTGGGTAGCCAGGAACTCTTATTTAGTGTTAAAATGATTGAAAATGGTTTACCAATGAATGGAGGGACTTTGCTAGAGTACACCAAGCACTAAAGCTAGGTTAATGAGATGAACTAGTTATAATGCCTACAGTGTCCCTTTAACTGTAACAGATAAACAAAGTATAATATTAAAGGACAACTTTTGTCACCCAGACCACTTCAGCTCAATGAAGTGGTCTGGGTGCCAGGTCCCCCAGGTTTTAACCCTTCAGATGTAAACACAGCAGTTTCAGAGAAACTGCTATGTTTCCATTGCAGGGTTAATCCAGCCTCTAAAGGCTGTCTTCCTGACAGCCGCTAGAGGCGCTTCCCTGAAAATCGCATTGAGCACGCAGAATATCCATAGGAAAGCATTGAGAAATGCTTTCCTATGGCCGTTTTTAATGCACGAGCGGCTCTGGCCGCGCATGCGGCTCCACTTGTGAGCAGACGTCGGAGGGGGAGGAGAGGTCACCCGAGGAAGCCCGGCGCTGGATAAAGGTAAGTGGCTAAAGGGGTATTAACCCCTTCAGCCCAGCGGGAGGGGGACAGTCTGGCCTCTAGCGGCCAGACAGTTTGTTTTCCTGACACTATAGTGGTCCTTTAAATTCATGGGAAGTGACAGTTCCCCTTTAATAAATCATGCAAATTCCCAGAATCTCCGCATTCGGCAATTACATCTCTCGGCCAATCCTCTTATGGCAATAAAGACAGACCCTGTGGTCTATACTTCCAGAATTGCCATCATGGGCTACTGGCTTTGCTACATAAAGTAATCCAGTGAAGCAGGAGGTCTGGAAGGGGACTTTAAAGGGACACTATTGGCACCCAGACCACTTCAGCTCATTGAAGTGGTCTGGGTGCAGTGTCACAGTCCCATTTAGTACTGCAATGTAAAACATTGCAGTTGTTGAGAAATGTCAATTAGACGGACAGCCACTAAAGGCACATCCTGCTTGCTAGGTGACTTTTGTTTGCTTAACAGATGCTGGACATCTCACGCTCTGCATGAGTACATTCAGCTTCAGAGAAATCTCCACAGGGAAACATTGAAACAATGCTTTCCTATGGGGAAGGCCTAATGCCCTTGCAGCGCGTTTGCGGCACATACACTTTAGCCCCCCCTTCCCAGTGACGTCAGAGTTGCTGAGCACTGGCTTAGTGCCAAGGGAGATTGGCACTGGAATAGGTTAAGTGTTACAAAGTGTTTTTTAACTTTTGCAGCACTAGGCATAGCTGGTGTGGAGGGGCTACAGGCATATATATATATATAGTGTAAGGGATATAACTTTGTATTCCTAATGCTATAGAATCCCTTTAACTATGGTCTAGTTGAGACCATCCATTTTATTTGTACATAGTGCAATCCTGCTTCCCTCTCTCCATCTCATTTAAAACAAAATGGGTGTAAAAACATTCAAGAATTGAACTAGTGGACAGATAGAAATATATATTTTGACTATAATGTCAATGTCTGGAAATGTGTGGCTAATCTAGGAAAATGTGTATTAACTGCTAGCACTAGATTTACGTTTTAGGAAGTTGAACTAATTTTAATAAAACAGTCATAAATCTTTTTACAAAAGACAGGCTGCGGTACTCGTTTGCCATTCAATGTTTTAAATTTTCAAATCTTTTTTTTTTTACATTTTGGTAAGGATATTATATTTGCAATCAACGGCTTAGTGAACATATCTTAATAGAGCAAATTTAAGCTAAAATGAACAATGCTATTTATGTGATACACTTTACAGAAAAAAAAAGTTTTACTGTAGAATAGACAACCCAAAAAAAAAAAAAAAGAGTTAAAACACACAAAAATAAAGAAAATACATATTTCTAGCCACCCCGTGTTTGCATACATTTTTGGAAGAGGCTAATGTCAGGGGATTAGATCAGACACACTCTCCTCCTCCTATCATCATGTGCCGAGGCTCTCTGTGTGCCAGGAAGACGTGACTTGTAATCCCTTACAAGAAGCGCAACAGTCATCTAGCAAGGTCCGGTCCAATGTGCTGTTAAAGGGCCACGGCACCACTGATCAGAGATAAGCACGAGGGCCCTGCGGTGGCTATTTTGCCAGTAGTAGTGCCACTGGAATACATGGCAGGGAGGGGAGCTCTCCGCCTCCGATCCTCCTCTTCTCCTCCCTACGGACGCTCTCAATGTGATTTTCACAGTGAGAATCATGCAAGCGCCTCTAGCGGCTGTCAATGAGACAGCCACTAGAGGATTTGAGGGCTGGGTTAACCATTTATGAACGTAGCACTTTCTCTGAAACTGCTATGTTTAAAAAAAAAAAAAAATGGGTTAAGCCTAGCTGGACCTGGCACCCAGACCACTTCATTAAGCTGAAGTGGTCTAGGTGCCTAGAGTGGTCCTTTAAGAAAGCGTGAGCCTATCCCTGCAAGACAACGATAGTTGGCAGCTGTAAACTGCTGCCCCCCATGTGTTCCCTATTAAAGGTTAATAAGTATGTAGGGGTTTAGGAAAATACCCCTCTCTGTCGCATTAGAGAATTTTTTTCACCTAAATCTGAAGGTAGCAAGGTGAACTGTGAGTGTAGGACTCACCTAAGAGGTGTGCCTTGACACGGCAGGTGGGCTTACATCCAACGGCCATTGGAGTGATACTAAAAACCTCCAATTATTAAAATATGCACAGGGATTTGGGATAGTGCGCAAGTAATTCTTTTCTTGGCTTTTTAAAATATTTATTTTATTTTATTTTTTTGTGTGCAAAAGATATACAAGCAAGCTTACGGAGCCACGACAGCAGGTGTAAGCGTACTAGGAGTAACAGTAACATGGCATGAGTTTATTTCAGAGCTCATGCTTCGTGCGACTGACCAGCATGGCGGTCGCGCCCCACTTTTCTTGGCTTTTTAAGCTATGACCGTAGCGGCTAATTTATAACATTCTCTATGCTCAGCACCAACAAGGCACACTGCACAGGGAACAATGGAGGCAAATTAGTCCCCTGGCTCCACAGCGAACACAATGTAAGATTATATGGGTTAGAAATTTAAGAAAAAAAAATAAAATGCATAAAAATATGCATTAGCTAGAGTTTTTCTTAAAAACTTAAAGGTCAACTTAACTGTAGCCTTAAAAGTGTAAAAGTGGGCCTAATGAAGGTGAAATGACTGAATTCTGAAGTTTAAGTTGTTTTGCTGTAGAGGTTGTGACAGGAGCAGTGCCAAGCAGAGCCATTATGTCCTATTGGGCAGTGTTCCTGTCAGACGCCATTTTCCCTCCCATTTTCCCGCCCATTTTCCCCTATCTGACAGGGAGTGCTGTTTGTTGATGTTTGCAGCTCGCACCTGGGAGTTCTGTCAGCGCCGCCCTCCCATTGGCTAGCGAGACTTGTTGTTTAGTCTTCACCGACCCCGCCCACCCAGCGTTCCAAGCTTGGGATTGGCCGGGAGTGCATGCGCACGCTCCGGGCACGTTCGGGTGACAGCCAGGCAGACGGGCCAATCAGCATGGGACGAGAGATACTGACAGGGAGTGCGAGCCAATGAGCAACGAGCAGTGAGGAGGGTGTGAAGGGGGGGCGGTCCCTGTCGGGGGCTGGGAGGCTGAGAGCTGGCTGCTGGTAAACAGTGTGGACCGCGTGTCAGAGACAGGAGCAGCTGCTGAGAGGAGCCTGCAGCACGGGGGCCAGGAGCTCGCCACACAGGGGTAGGAGAAGCATGGCTGGGGGATAGCACGGGGTGTGCTGGGCTTCCTGGAGCTCTCAGGGAGGAGGCCCTGGGCTGAGCACCACTCCAGCTTCTCTGGGCTATCCCACTATCCTCAGCCAGCCAGTCAGCTACAGCAAGGGCAGGGGGTGTACTGGACAGGACCCTGAGAGAGGCTGCTAAAGCATCATGGGAGTTGTAGTCTTATTACAGGGGAGGAGAGCTACAGAGGGAGTGACCTATACTGCATGATAATTATATATATATATATATGGATTCTTTATAGGATAATGTTATGGGGCTGTGACTTGTGTACAGGGCAATGGGGGTGCAGGGCAATGGGTGTACGGGGCTGGGGACAGGGCGACAGGGGGATGAGTGTCCTGGGGATGGGTGTCCCGGGGCTGGGGACAGGGCAACGGGTGGCTGGGGACAGGGGGATGGGTGTCACGGGGCTGGGGACAGGGCGACGGGTGGCTGGGGACAGGGGGATGGGTGTCACGGGCTGGGGACAGGGGGATGGGTGTCCCGGGGCGGGGGACAGGGCGACGGGTGGCTGGGTACAGGGGGATGGGTGTCCCGGGGCTGGGGACAGGGCGACGGGTGGCTGGGGCCACGGGGATGGGTGTCCCGGGGCTGGGGACAGGGCGACGGGTGGCTGGGTACAGGGGGATGGGTGTCGGGGGGCTGGGGACAGGGCGACGGGTGGCTGGGTACAGGGGGATGGGTGTCCCGGGGCTGGGGACAGGGCGACGGGTGGCTGGGGCCACGGGGATGGGTGTCCCGGGGCTGGGGACAGGGCGACGGGGGGATGGGGACAGGGCGACGGGTGGCTGGGTACAGGGGGATGGGTGTCATGGGGCTGGGGACAGGGCGACGGGTGGCCTGGGCTAGTTTTGGTAAAAAGGGGTTAATGGGTATACCTTTCTTGTTGTATATTATGGTCAGTGTAGTCCATGGCAGTCTGTCTTGAGGACACTGTGCCAGGTGTTGGGCTGACATTGGTATACAAGTGGTTAACTTGTATAAATTAGGGTCTCCACCTTATGGAAAATGCAGTTCACAGCAGATTTTTTGATGCCAGGTTATGGTCTATGATTGACTAAAGTTTATTAATACCCATAATAGCTGGGTTTTACTATCTTTTCTACGTAGCTTCACATAGCGATTTATTCATTAAACTCTGAATTGTAGCAAATTTAAATAATGAAAAGTTGAGGTGAAAATAACTGATCTGGAAAACATCTCGTTGGTTATTTTAACCTCAATGTTGCAAAAAAAACGAAGTTTATTGAATAACCTGACATTGACTGTGGGTCAGCAAGGCATGGGAGGGCTGGATATCCCAGTCGGCTGTATGTTACATAATGTTGTAGTGAACCTGTTTTGAAAAAAATAACTTGCCTGGAATATCTCCCATATACATTGAATACACCATATATCAGATACATGGTGTTTTCAGTGTAAAATATAGTTTTACTCACATTTTCTCCATTCCAGCGTCGCTATTATTCTTTGTGTAACACATCCCTCCTGGCTGTCTTTCGTCTCGGCCCTTTCCAAAGTCTTTTAGTTACCCTGCATGAGACGCATCCCAGAGCAAGGCAAATCTTGTCATCAACGTTGGCATGCTGGCGTTGTGACAATGATATCTCACTGTTCCTATTCTCCCTAGCCAGTGCTTGAAGCACTGCATAGGTAGTGTCCATAGCAACCACAGTGCGTTTGCTGTGGTTGCTATCGGAGAGCATAGGTGCATCCTGTAGAAGGGAAAAAAAAAAAAAACTAATCTAGACATTTGTTAGCAAAACTGCTAGCACAATGTATAGGTAAACTCTTATGCTCATTCTACTGGGTAGAAGTTGTTTTGGGTCCCTGTAAGAGGTACCTAACTAGTACTTTTCAGCCTTGTGTGGAATTTACATGTTTCCAAAGAGCAGTTAATCATGGCCATTCCCACTGCATGAGAAGTGTGATGTTCAGTCCGCTAAAGCAAAACCTTTTTTGGACAGCTGGTGGCCGGTGGCCATCATGGGCTTAGAGAGCTGTCTGTGATTGATAGACTGCCTGATTATTTCAGCCTTGCAATCTCAATTCGGAGCTAGACCATGTGTAGATAGGTAACTAGAGGCTGTGGTATACATTCAGATTGTACATAGTGTACATTTTCCATTATAACCAATGTGTTTTTATGGTACAGATTGTTCATACATAGTCTTTTAACCCCATAATGTATTTGGTCTTTTCTGAACAATTTCTGGAAGTTAGAATGATTGAGAAGAAATTTCCTGCCTGTTAGTGTCTTTTATAATCTTGATTACTGCCAAGATCCACTTTTTCCAGCTTGCTCCAGTTGAAATTGTAATCACTTTTTTTTTTTTTTCTTCTTCAGTTGGCACAAACAAATCAGCCCTTTTAACTATATTTGTCGTGCTGAATGGGTATAAATCTTTGCCTCTATTATTCTAGGAGTTTACGCCTCTTTACTTGCAATCTGGGAATAAAGAAACTGTGATTCTTAAAAAATTGCCCTGCTACTTGCAAAATAGGTATTAGTGAATATATGATCACAGGAGAGCTGTCTGTTATTGTGGAGTATTCAATATATATTATTTCATGTTTTTCTGATCGAAGGCATTTGTGTCTTTCACAGGATCTGCCTTTCTTCAGGACAGGATCTGATCTGCTGGTTACTTTGTTGCAGTGAGAATAAGTCCACACTAGTGTCTCTGCCATTTGTTTTTATATCACTGTGTCTTTCTGACCTTGATACAGAAACCTTATCTTCCTGCTGCTGGGTGCCAACCACAGGGGGCAGAGACTATTTACTGACTCTGATTAACAATATGTGATACTCATACCTTGTGTTGCTGAGCTCCATGCCAGGGAAGGGGTTAAATTCAATCTTTAATAACACTACCCAGAGATCCTCTTAAAGCAGTCTGCGTATGCAGAAGTGTCTGTCACAACTAGTTTGGTTTCCTGGGCCGGCCTTTTAGGTGATGTCTTGCGGCCGAGTGAAAGCAGTTCTGCTTTTGATTGAGCCTCACGCTGGCTGGACACAGTGCTCTGGAAAGACTTGATAGTAAATGACAGAGGCAGGAGTCACAGTGTGTCCCTTCACTCGGATGACCTTGTAGTGTGCACTGTATATATGTTGCTTTGCTATTGCAGGCTGGTATCCACCTGAATTATAACAGTATTGCTTTCTGCTCAAATTATCTCTAATACAGTGTTTTGTCTTTAAAGTGACACATTTTTAAAATAAATTTTCTGGTTTAAATGATGGCATTCTCTGATCATCAGACCAAGATATCAGTACTGATAATTTAATAACGTTCATATACACTAAATTAATAATCCTGTTTCATCATGACATGCCAAGGTGACTGAATAAGAAATCTCTGTGATAAAAGTGCTTATTTTAGACCTTGCACAATGAACGATCTCTCTGAAGGTGCTGATTCATCTAAACAATAAATAGAACCACCTTTTCATTAAATGTAGTCATTCTTCTTTCTTTGTTCCTTTAAATGCGCAAACCCTGTCAAGTCAAATTTGAGAGATAATTTAAGGAATGAACATACCACCCAGGAAAGGTGGGAAAAAAATAAATATTTTTTCCTCCCACCCCTCTATTGTATTAATTGTTGACTGCAGTCATGTGATATCTGAATTGTGGGCATTATACATAAAGTGCTAGGAGAACAATATGGGAATGGTCCGAGCTCGAGTTAGCATACTGCTCAGGTTGTGTGGGACTTTGCCCAGCTGGCATGGAAATGTGTTTTAAGCTTTAGCTAGTTTTGTATCATTGAGGGCTTCTGCAATCACATTCCAGGGCTTAGTGTTTCAATCGGTTCTACAGTACGCAGAGTTTAGTGAGTTGGAATGGAATTAGTGCAAGTTTGGCACTGGCATTTAACTGCATAATTAGCCTTTTTTACTACTGGATTTAAAAGGATTTGTCGTTTAACAGAGCATCAAATTTAGGATAAAAATTTATTTTGTGTTTCCATTTGAAATAATGGCTGCAAGGATTACCAGGTCTCTGTATGTCTTAGTTATTCAAAAACATTTTTTTTTTTATTTTATTTTTTTTTACTTCTTTACACACATTCCTGTTTTATGCATTTAATTGCTGTTGAAATGGCCAGTTTACAGTATGGAATCTGTGAATGTTCTTGTTTTACAATCTGTATAACCATTATAAAATTGAGTAAATGTGCCTATTTTAGATGACAAATATGTTAAGTCAGACACCTTTTATGGCTATGAATTAAAAGTAGGGAATGATCAAATAAAATGAGGTTGCATTGGCATAGTCATGAGCTAAACATAGCTTTAAAAAGAGTTCTTGTCTTCTTAGTTAGCTACCAGTGTGGAAGGATGTATAGTACGAGAGCTCTGGAGTCATGGCTCCAAGAATCTACTTTTTTAATTTTTATTTTTTATTTTTTTTAAATTCTTTATTTTTATTGTGCAAGTGATATCAAACGAGCCCGTGTTGCCACATCAGCAGTCACAAGCTTAATAGAATCTTACATTGTCAAACATGGCAAATAGATAGTCTGCACAGTTTTATATTATTAATAAACAGGTGTTAAACTGAGAAGGCATCAATAATAATGAGAGCAACATAAAATGAGATAGCAACATAAGATTAAGTCTAAAGATGAAAGCATTGCTATTCAGGCTTACAGTGCTAACATTGCTTAGGTGAGCAGTTATCCTGGCTTGGTGTCACATTAAGTTGGCATTAACTAATGTATCTGCGTTGATATCGCTTTTCAGGCGCTTTCACCTGTTTTGTATATCAGGACAGGTGAGGTACACGCTTCTATAGAACAAAGTGCCATAAAGCAACATTTGGTCTGCGCTCTAAGTTATGGTCATTCAGTGTTATGGTGTCAGGATCTCCACCTCGGCGTACACGTGCATATTAAACAGGCTAAACAATAGCGTTGACATTAGCGTATTTTTGTTGGTAATTAGTGGCTAAGTTTGTTGGATGATCTTGCTACGTTAACAGATACAGGCATGTAAACTGAGTGTTGTAGGATTGAAATGTGTAGTGCTATACGCTAGCTTAGCCTTCATGCTGAAGACATGTTAGTTCTTGTATTCAGTTATACAGTCTGCCCGTTCTATGTTCATTACAGATAATGCTGGTTTACAGTGCTATAGATGTAGACATGCTGTTGTCATAAGACATCCAGTATATAAAAACAAGTGATTATAGGAACACATTCTTTGTGAGAAAAGGACATAGATTGATCATGAGCACTGTGTGCTATCAGATTATATTAAGGAAAGCATAACTGGTGAGAGTGTAAAGGTATAATAACAAGAAGGATCAATTCAGTACTTGCTCAGAGTGGTTGTTTAACTGTCTGGAACACATATTTGAGTATGCATGTTGTGAACAAGTAGTGATACAGGAGCCGACCCAGATACTGTAGTATTACAGTGTGGGGAAGTCTGCTTTGCTGTCTGGGGTCATCCAATGCCTGCAATGGCAATCCGTTGGTGCTGTGTGCCATATTCCATCGAGGCAGGGGCTGGGGCAGTGTCCTGAGAGGTAAAATCCTTTGGGCTGTTGCATTTGTTCGGCGCATGGAATAGATAGGCAGAGGGTCGTGGCTGATCTGTGCACCCTGGCTTGGTAGCTGTTCCCCTTTTTCAATGGCTCAGCTGTAGTAGCGCTATGCTGTGTCATTCGGTCCTTCCCTCGCCTTGGGTATTTAGAGGAAAGTGGAAGTATCCGTTTACGGCGGATGATCCTCCGTTTGCGCGGCATGTGCAGGGAGGCATTGCCTCGGGGTGCTGTCCTCTTAGGTGGCGTTATGGCCATTGCTTTGGCTATGTTTTTCTGCTTTGGGCGGTTAATGCCCCTCTGTCTCTCCCTCCGCTTTGTCGTGTTGCTGGTTAATCGCTCTTGTGGTGTCGTTGCCAAAATCAGGTGCCTCGGCCGCGTGTGAGAGAGTGTGTGTTGTCGCTTTACCAGTGTAGTTGGTTTCAGAGCGGGTGGTGGTTTCCTCTTTCCCAATCTCTCCCAAAATTTCCGGCATACCTCCTCAAATTTAGCCTGAAAGGCCGCTGTCCATTCATCGGCTGTCTGAGGCGGTGGATTCGCGGCACTGCCGGCAGCCATCTTGGCTTGGCCTCGTGGGGTCGATTGGTCGGAATTGCTCTTATAAGTGTCCCAGAGGTGAGTGCTCACCGTAAGCTGGTGGACCGGGATGACCCCCGCCGGTCCATAGGGGGGGAAGCGAGAGCCCGCCGCCAGATATCCGGCATGGTGTTGCAGCTGGGGAGCGGCCGTCTCCCCTGCGCCTGCCATGCTTGTAGGCCTCACAGTGAGTTTAGCTCGGTTCTTCGCTTGAGAGGTATCGTTCTCCTCACTCCGATGCCCACTCTTGAGTGCTGGCCTTATAATCATGATTGTGTGCCGGTGTGGCAGTGAAATTCGGCTTTAGGTTGCTAAGTTTAGCAGGAGCTGCTGAGATAAGCGTCTTCACAGCTCTGCGGTTAGGCCCCGCCCCCCTACTTTTTTTAATTTACCATACATTGATTACTTCACAAATCAAATATAAAATTATTTGGTGCTGACTTTTCCAGAGCAGAACATCATTTGACTTCAAGACGTGGGGAGTGGAGCTTCTAGCCCTTTTAATTTCCTGAGGCTGGCTTTTGCCTATAATTCCCTCATTGAAAGATGATCTACCTATTTAATGTTCTAGAGCTGTCAGGTTTATATTGGGTGGGGACCAAACTGAGCCCAAATTGCAACTGATTTTCTTTCCCTCCATTTACCATCTCCTTTTTTTTTTTTTTTTTTCTGGATTTATCCTTTTCTCTCTCTTTCCACCCGCTCTGACTCTGTTCCTTACTCTTTTTTAATATATATTTTTTTTATTTCTCCTATAACCTCCTCAGATGTGCGTGGGTGGGGGCTGTGACCATAATTATTATTTTATATACATTTCATTTTTATTTTTTTGTCTCTCCTTTTTTTTTTTGTGTGTGGGGGAATCCTCCTTCCCAAATAACATCCACAAGCAAAACATTTTTATCGGAAATCCAGTGGCTTTTAGAAGACTCTTGCTTGTATAACATGGCGGTACATTAATGCTATAGTGTTGGACTTTACAGGAATACCTATTTCATATTCAGGATATGCCATGTAGGTGAAAGTGTCAGCAAGTCAATGATTGGGAAGTATACTTGACCTCACACACGCCCAGATTACCCCAAATGATACATGCTACATCTCAAAATACCTATCTCACAGGAGTTGCAGGATACGACCGTGCCATTTAGGATCGAGTGACTGCTTGTGGCACCCTTAGATGCAATCATTACTGATAGGCAGATGGTCAAAAAAAATTCTTCACTGACTTCTAGATAACATGTTGTACTATGCAAAGTGACACAGTTATGTTGGGCATGGCAGGTGCACTGAAGTAAGAGGATATAATGTACTGTGTGTTTCAACAGAAATGAAAATAACAAGCTTTCTGGTTAAGTAGTGGCTGTTGAGATAAAGCATTACAAGTGGCTGCTGCTGACGCATTCAGTTCTCTGGAAATTGGATTTTATTTATTTTCACTCTATGTATATCAATAACTGTATATGCCGTGTTTCACTATGAAATGCTGCACGTACAGAATTTAACCAATTTTTGCTTCCGAGGTGTAAGTCACCTCTGGCAGATTCACTGGGCTATCATTAACCAGCTAGGTCGAATTCCGTGTACAGAATGTCATTGGTTATGAGCGGTCAGCTGACACTCAGCCAATGAATGGCAACGAGATGTAGCTATGTATTTTTCAAGCCCCGTCGTACCTCCTAAGGCTACAGCTAACTATATAGTTTTCAGCATGCTTCTAGTTTGTAGCACACTTCCAGTTATTAAACATTATATATACTATATACCTGGGATATGTGTTTAAGCACAAGTTAAGATGCTATGTGTGTCAACCCCCCGGAATTACAAAATCTACATATTCAAAAATGAACAAATGCTGTAGTCTGGTATCACGTAACAACACTTTGGATCACTTTTTTTTTTTTAATTAAAAATACAATCTATACTATATTAAGGCAGGTATCATTGTTGAAAATAGTGCTTTGTTTAGAATATTGCTCCATCCATGCTTTTCGGCTGTGTACAGTTGGAGCGCAGTTTGAAACTGCATGGTATGTAGCAAGTGTAAGGAGCTGGGAGTTAGGAGTCAGTATTTTTCTTGTGCTGTGATGTTGGAGCTCTAAATATATCCTTTGATTTAATAAGACCTCTCTGTTAATCTGATTGGCTTTGTCAAAAACTGGTTACAAGATCACAGAAGGAATACCCCCCCCACCCCCCAATAGCTAGCTGAAATAGAATGAACACTGAAATAGTTTTGAACTTTCTGACTCTGGAGCTGGTTTGGGAGATAAATGTGGCAGAGTCCACTGAATATTTGCCAACATCCACTATTTTGTAATGGCTTGTGTAGGAGTTCAAATCTTCATTATGAAATTATTACTTTTCACTTACTTGTCCTACAAGGTTGTTCAATACAGTGAAAATAGAAGGCCAATTCAAAGTGATTTTCAAATTTGAGACCGGAGTAGCTGAAAGGAAAATAAAGCAAACCTTTTGAATTTTTCCAATTTGGCTATTTTCACTTTAAAGGATCACTATAGGGTCAGGAACACAAACCTGTATTCCTGACCCTATAGTGAAAACCCATCATTTAGGTGGCTTGCCCCCCTCAGAGTGGGTTAAAACTCATCTTATTTTCAGCTCTCCGCGGGTCTACTGGCCCTGGCCCTGGCCCATTGGTAACATCAAAATTGCTGATTTTTAGCCAATAATGGGAAAGCATTGGATAAAAATTGGCAAGATGGTGGGCCCAAATGCCGTTTTGGCCAATCAGCACCTCCTCATAGAGATGCTTTGAATCAATGCATCTCTATGAGGAAAATTCAGCGTCCCCATGCAGAGTGTGGGGACGCTGAGCGTCAGGGCTGCTTACTGTGCAGCACTGAGCCACGATGCACCTCCAGTGGCCATCTAAGGAGTGACCACTTGGAGGTGTCCCTAGAGGCAATGTAGACACTGCCTTTTCTCTGAAAAGGCAGTGTTTGCATGAAAAAAGCCAGAAGGGAGCGATTATACTCACCAGAACAACTACATTAAGCTCTAGTTGTTCTGGTGACTATAGTGTCCCTTTTAAAGGGACACTCTACTTCACAAATGCAAAAGAATTGAAATATCACTGTTTTAATAGATATACCCCAAATGAAAACATGCACACACTGAAATTTCTTTTTTTTTTTTCATTGGGGTATATCTAAAAACTGTTTGCAAAACAGCAACTCTCTTGTCTTGTCTTCAGCGAGCAGCACATGTGCAGTCAAGCTTCTCCATAGGAAAGCATCGTTTCACATGACCCTTTTTTCAGTAGGTGTTGTGGAAGTGCCTGTAGTACAGCCATATAAAATGTTTTACATTGCAGGGTAAAGGGAAAAGAGCTCTGCAACTTGGCCACTTCATTTAGATGACGTGGTCTGGGTGACTATAGTGTCCCTTTAGGTGACATAAGAACACTCGTCTGCAAATGAAGATGGCAGACTTGGTCTGTGTTGGTCATTATCAGATGGTGCAATTCCATACTGTTAGTCAAATGTTTTTTTGAATGTACTAATTTGCTCACATGCATGTTGACACGTATGCTCTATCACTTCAATATAATGGATGGTTTCTTTCTGCCGTAGCAATTTCAGTTTGTCTTACTTTGGACACTCTTAGCCAATTGAATCTGTCCAAATATGGATGTAATTGCTACCACCAAAACAAAAGTAGGAAATCTGCAAGGAGGGGCTGGACTGGGGGGCAACTGGCAAAGCCAGGTAAGTGTCAGTGTTTCATCTTAACACTGTGTGCTCTAGGAACCATAACCACTACAAAGTCCAGTCTTTACTCTTGTTTGCTGGTTTGCCTAGGGAGAGGGTTACCTTATATGACTCGCCATCTGTTTAACCTATAATATCTAGGGATAGTTTTCTGAAAATGAAATCTTTGCAGCTGTTCCAGGAATGTACATTTGTTTATCCTGGAGTATTGCAAATAGCAGACCCAAAGAGCTTGGAGATTAAATACACATTCTTGAATCACATATATTTTATATGTTCCATTTTTCATTATGCATAGCTTGATGAAATTTATTCTGCAGAAGAAATATAATCCTGGTTTCGAAATGGGAACCATGATATGTTGTGGGTTTTGTAAAACCTGTGATAGTGGAGCAGTTGCCATGGAAACTATCTGAATGTTCTTCTGATTGCTCCACTTTTAGAATGTCCCATACACAAAACCTACAATACACAGAGGGCTTGGGAGAAAAGTGCTGAATGTGATGCAGTACGCTAAAAATAAAACCGTTTTTTTTTTGATGAATTCCCGCTCGATATAGAATCCTGATATATAATTTTTTTTTTTTTAAATAGGATTTCTGACCGTGATGCAGAATCTACAGTCCAATGCATGTAAATGTTATTGTTTAAAATATATTTTTTCCAGTCTGGCTTTTAGTCTCTGGTCTCATTTTAACTACTCTGATTTCTTCCATCCCACCGGGGGGAAACATTGGACAGATATCCAGCGTCTCCTGTATCAGTCTTAATCTACCAACGGAAATATAAAGGGGAAGCTCACAGGGCAGGCCGGCCAGCCTATCACTTTTTTTTTTTTTTTAATTTTTTTTTTTTAAATGTGTTCTGTTTCTTGTTTCTAGGCAGACCTGGGCCAACAGAGCTATGCTGCAGAGCTATAAAGTGACCTTAACTGATCGAGTAGTGCAGTCTATAACAGGTCATGGGGGGCTGCACCACCTCAGGCAGTGTTAAAAGCAGTAGGTGCAAAACCAAAATCTCAGATTTAGGGTGTACTGAGTGGTGAACACACACTTTATTTATTCGTTTTAACTTTTTTTTTTTTTTTTTATTCGCTCATTTACACTCCATTCAAAACCTGTCCTTATGGTGTACTGATTCGGTGTTCTTACTCTGTTGTTTTTGGTAAGGTAGTGGATGGAGTGCAGCTATAGACCACATTCACTCTGTGAACTCGTATAACATATGCTGGCATGATCCGTGAAGCTTTTTATATAAATTTGGTGTGTCCTACTTAACGTGTACCTCTATTTTCATGCATAATGAATTATTTATTTTTCCCCTTATGTTATTGCCAACTAAATTAATAGGTACAGTTTAAGGAATCTACTGAATGTAGATTACCAAAGTGTTTGCAGAATACTGATATTGTGTATGAGGGATTGACCAGAGCTTTAGCTTAGAGTTGGTTCTCTCATTGGTGGTTTTTTGTTGTTGTTGTTTTGACCCAGCTGTGTCAGTCTTGTTGCGGCTCTCACTCCACTTCCTACGGACTTTGTCTGGATGGATAACCTCAGCCAATCAAATGCTTTTTCACAGATTAGCATTGATAGGGCTACTACGCTAATGGAATTTTTCACGTGGAGAAGTATTACAATAAAGGGATTTTCTCACAGTTTAAGTCCAATTTAGCATGTTGTACAGTCATACAGGTCAGGTCTGTGTATTTGTTCAGTAATGTTTAACACTCAAAAACATGTTTTGATGGTGCTGCTTTCGATGTAACATTAATTATAGCAGGAGAACTGATCATTCTCTTCTCGAGTCTGTAGCGGCAAAATGAATAATGACCTCTCAAACGTTTATTAACAATTGGCTCTACAGTAACTTTGTGGCTGCATTTGGACAATAGTGACTATTATCTGGCCTATTTTATTTATTTTTCTCACCTTTGCCAATGCATTTATTATAAAACGTTAATATGTGCAGTCATGAAAACTTTGTTTACGGATTTGCTGCTTGACCTTTTAAGATCTGACCGTTACCTGTTACCTCCCCTCCAGCTGCTCTTGTCACATAATGTCATTTAATAATGTGAAAGAATATGTTGTCACTCTGCATAGTACTAACGGTATCTGGAAACGCTCGCTTGTTGTACTCTCCTCTCGTGTCCCATTACATGCTGACCGGGTGCTGTGCTTTGTGTTTTCCCAGCTTCTTGTATGTAAACAGGTTTCTGTAGTGGACTGTGTACCTTGTTTAACAGAATGGGCTGTTCATGCTCTCCTATCATGATTTCAGTTTTTGGAATTACTTATTTTTAAAGGGACATGCTGCATTTGGCTTTTTTAATCATTGTGTAGATAATGCATTAAATTTATGCAAGTACAGGAAGTTAAAAGGACTGAATAAATATCCTCAGATTTTGAAGTTCCTGCATTTGCTGAGAACCTATAAGTTGTGCAGTGAGTGGAGGCCAGAACATTTTCATGCATAGCTGTTTTCTTTTAAATATATATCGATCGCTCTACAGACAAAAAAAAAAAAATTACACACTAGGTCTTTGTTAGAAAAATAAGTTAACTTTTATTGATGTTTGCTTTGTCAATTATAAAAGTTCTATTTTTTAAAATTATTATTTTTTTGTTATTAAAAACAGAACGGGCGATAATGCAGAAGTCTAATTTGTGCATTTTTATTTTTTTTTTTTTTGTTCAAAGCCTCTAACCTTGCACAGCAGTTAAAATGTGTGAATTCTGGGCTCATGTCTATGGTTTGCTGCTTTCATTAAATTTTTTTTATTTTTTGCTATTGGTTAAACATGACTAGTCACCTGAACCACAGTGACCTGTTCTAGTAAGTAGGACATTTCAGGCTAAATGTTCTGTGCTTTTTATAAATCTGTTAACCATCCAGCTTCCTAAAGAGACTTAGAAATTCAGTGATGAGTAATTGTACAGCAGCTGTTTGTGGCTCACTCTGATTTTTGTCTGGCTATTAAATACACTTAGACTTGACTTTGTTTCCAGTCAAGAAAAACATGCTTATCCCATTTACAATCATTTTCTTAGAGATTCCTTTGTATTATATATCATGTGGTCTATGTAATGCTGAGACGTCCAAGCAGCAGGGATATAAGCAATTCCTTGTATAAAAAAAGCCAAATTAATAACAAGTGTTTCCAGTAAGGATTTTTGTAATGTTTTTAACTAGTAAGATTCAAGCTATTCCCCATAATGCCAATTACTCAAACTCGCTAAATAGAAGTCCATAAAAGTATTGATATAATCATGAACCAACAACTCACAATCCAGCATATAAAAACAATACTCGAAATACACAACACATGATTGATGTACCTACTGTGGCAACCTATGAAACAAAAAATGGAAGGGCCAAAACTTGTCTCCATGTGATTTTTTTTTTTTTTTTAATCTAGCTAATTTAATTTTATGGCAAGGAACGGAGGCTTATATTGCAAGTTTAAAACTGCACAATCCTAGCAGAAACCTGTCGGCAGCCCTCATTTAATCCTTGAGAACCTTGGAGGCGGTGACTCCTTTGGTCAAGTGTGCTCCAAAATAGTTGCCCCACACTGGCCTGTTGCATTACCCACTTGACCAAACATGTCAGAGTCGTACTTGAGATTGTCGAAGGGAGAATGAATAGATAGAGATGTTGGTGTGAAGTCTTCCGATGTGATGTTTTGTATGTCAAAGCTCTGTAATGTGTTTTTTTTTTTATTTTATTTTTTTATTTTTTTTTTAATCAGCCTGGAGAGATACAAAATATTGCCTGTACATAGAATACTGAACTTGAGTTCTTACCACGAAAGTGCGTGTATTTATATTTTAATTGTACAGAATAACTTGTTTTATCAATGAACATGCATAGTATGCACTAAAACATTATTTCGAATGAGTTTATTGTAAATACATTCTTATAATACATAGTGTTGTGTGGTTTGATGTATATTTTGTTGCATTTGTTTGATCTACAAAGTATGAATGTGATTGATTTAATTCTTGCTGTGTGTCCCCGTGGAAGCAGCAGTGTGTGTTCATTGGATTTGATACGGACACCTCCTTCCCACTCAGACCTGTAGATTCCGATTCTTGCCTTAGATGGGTGGAGAGGAGCTTATCAATTAGCACCATATGAAGTCATTCCCCAGAGGTGGTGGGTGATTGGTATTTTTTTTCTTCTTCTTGGAAATGTTAGTGTTTTTGAACATGGCAGGGCTAGTGATGTCTTGTCTTATCTTTCACTAGAATAATGAAGCGGTGATGCAATATTTCTTTCACTTCAACAAAACATCAAAACAAACATTTCTTCACATGCTTGCTTGTGTTTGTCTGTTTTTAAAGTGCTTTTTGCATGTTTTTCTCATAATGCTGTGTGTATGGCAGCATGTTTATTATTTGTAGCATTCTACTCTATTTTGTGTGTGTGTGCCCTGTAAAGAGAATTGTCGTTTTCACACTTTCTAACTACATCAATGATCTGTCTTCAGTAGGTCTCTCTGACGAGTTTTATTTTATTTTATTTTTTAAATCTTACAGGTGTGGATAGCAGTGACCAATCATGGCGGGGGATGCCATTATGCTCATGAGGGGGTTGGCCAAACTCAGCAAGGCAGTGCTGGAGGTGCAGAAGGGTAACTTGTGGCAGACTGTTGCTCTTGGGGGCAATGCCACCATGTTTGCAAAGAGTTGGCAAGTGGCGGTAGAGGAACGTTTCAGTGCTGCTATGGGAAAGATGCAGGCGAGTTTTGAAGTGTTTTTTATTTTAAATTTATTTTTTTCCCCTCCCCTCTTCTTCAGTTTGAGTAAGGTTACCCAAAAATAATTGCTTTGTACAGAAAATATTACATTTGTTGTTGGGTGTGTTTTTTTTTTTTTTTGGTCCATTTTTCTCTGGGGCGATGGAATGTCTTTGGCGTCTGTGAGACTTTGTAATATTAAAAAACCTTTTTTTTTTTTTTTTTTTTTTAATTTTTTAAATGTGTTGACAAAACTAGAGGGCTGCACCATGACTGCTTCATTAAAGGACTGCAGCATTAGGGATACACATTTGTATTACACTTTTTTTTTTTTTTTTTCATTATGTTGCGGTTTGCCTCCCATGCACCTAATAGAGCAGTATTGGGGACCTAATGCTCAGGCGCCACTAGAGCTGGTTTTAACCCTGCAATATAAACACTGCAGTTTCTAAAAAGTGCAGAGTTAGACAGGACCACTGTACCCAGACCACGCTATTGTGCTAGTGCTCTGGGTGACTGTTGAGTCTCTTTAAGCTGTAATTATTTGATGGGCCCTTTTAGTCTAATTAAAAAGTCTTACAAAAAAAAAAGCATTGTGAAAATGTATCCTTGTCATGTTTTGTGACTTTCTAATATCCCACATACAGGAGCTTGGCAAGCAACAAGAGAATCTTGCAGGGCAAGACATAGGTGCAGAAGGCTTCTCAGGGCCGGTCTCTGAGATTGCCGGCATAGAATATTCTCCCTCTTCTAACCAGGGCTACAGTAGCCACCACACAGAAGCAAAATCGGAAATTCACAACAATGATAACACCTACAGGAGCCAAAGTCAAATGGACAACCCTTTTCATCTGGACCCAGATTCTCAAAAGGACAATGGGGCCTTATTTGGCAAAACTAGACATACGGCTGGTGCATTTGCTGCAGCAGGCCAAAAGAGGGGCTTCCACCAGGACCACAGCTCTGTCAGCGGCCTAACAGCAGAGGATATTGAAAAGGCCAGAGAAGCGAAAAACAAAACTGAACACAAACCCCACAAACAGATGGTATGTAGAAATATGTATATATATATATATTTTTTTTTTTTAAAGTTGTCATTGCTCACAACACTAAATCTGTATTTCTGCAGAAGGGTGTGATGTAATATTTTCAATCCATTGGCACAGCCTGTCCAAGTATCCCTTTCAATATACTATTTTTTCTGTGGAAAATGGGGAAGCATAATATTGTAAGGTCCTGTTTTCTGTTTTTACATCCTGCAAGCTATTGCGTGGTGGTGCTGGATGGTTTGTTTTGCATACCAACTTTATGTGGACAGAGCTGTCATCTATTTAATGCTGCTGGAGATGAAATCCAATGCGTGTTACCTGCTTTGCCGTATCCAGGACATTTTTCATGCATTTCTGATGTGTGCATTGAAATGGCTGGGGAGGATGGGAGCCGTCTAGCTCCGAATAGCTCTCTGTATTGCTTACTTAGTATTTATTTTGTTTGGGCTCGGTTGGTATAGTGCTAAACCCCTCTACGTGCAGGGCAGATTACCTACTCTATAAAGCATGATGACTCTTTGGAAAGCTTGTTAAAAAATGTGACTATCTGCACGTCCACTTGCCACATCGTTTAATGTCTGGAGAGTTGATCACGGTGTGTGAATCCACTGCAGCAGGCTGTGGGTGTAATGTAGACCATGAGTGTTACTGCATGTTTTCAGGCTCCTCCTTGCCCTCCAGACAGAATGGTTGCTGTTGCTAGATTGTGGCCACTCTTCATCCTGAGCTGCTGTGCTGCCTTTTAAGTACCAGGCTGTAACTCCCATTGAGTTTAGTTCATTTATATTACCTTTAAATTTCCTCCCTTCCTCTGAATTAAGAATTGATAAAGTTCTAATCTTCACAGCATTCAGGAGCAGGCTTGTTAGGAAAGAAGTGTTGGGATAAGATGACCTCCTCTGTCTAGGGCTATTTCTGTAATTGTTAAGCAGATAAGCTGCTTCTTTTAAAATCAAGAAAGGTTTATTACTCTGACGTTGAGGCTTATTGGATCAATGCCAGACATTTGCAAATTGGGAAAACAAGTTCAAATTGCAGGTAAAGTTTGCCTTTTTTACATTTAGGTTTGAAATTACAATTCAGTAATTGTATAATCGGCTGGGGTTGATCAATGTAAATAGGAAACATTTGCACAGTTTTTTTTTTTTTTTTTTCATTTCTGTATTTTTACAATTTTATTTGGAGTATGGTCTACTGGTGTCTCATTGAATGCTGTACTGTCTGTAACTACAAGAAGCAAAACACTGTTCATGTGTATGCTGCTGTACGATCACTGACACTTACTGGCTGAGAAGGCATCATTTTATATATGAACCTTTTGGGGGAAAAACAAAAATCATGCCATAATTTATGCCATCTAGTCTCTCTGTATACAGTATAATTAAAATGACATCACAGAAAAGGTGGTAAATACATGGAATAGTGTCCCCACAGAAGCAATATCATGTTACCACGTATATTTGTCTTTTTCTTTTTTTAATATCATATGTTCAGCACTTTAAAGGGCCACTCTAGATGCAAGAGTTTAACTGGTTTGACAAAACCTACAACTCTCTCTGGCACCCAAAGCCTGGCCACTCTGCAGCTGCCCTGATAAAGTGGAAGATTCACTTCTGAAATATATGACTTGAACAGGAATAATAGCTTTGTCATTTAGTGGTCCCAGGCTGACCAATGAGCTGTGGTGACTCTTGGGTTTCAACTGATGAAGGGAAACCACCAGGGTCTGAATTCTGACAGTGATTACCTACATGCCCCCAAGTCTTTTGTTATTGGTGCTGGATTCTAGGTTTTGTTTTGGTTCAGGAATATATTTTTTTTTTTCTAAATTTGGGAATAAAGATCTTTAACCGGCTCAGAGTGCATGCTTGTGCTCAGAGCCGGAGAGGGGAGAAGAGTGGGGAAGGAAGAAGAGGTAGGATGCAGGGATGTGTAAAATATGCACAGAATTGACATTGGGCAGAGTTGTGGGAAGTAATTGGCCTCCAGCACACAATTGCAAATAGCCCTGGTATGCAGTCTTTTAAGCAGAAATACTGCACTTTCAGACTCCTACCTCCATGCCTACTTCAAAGAACTTTCTCTCTTTGTGAGTTATGAATAATACAATTTAAATGTGATTAGTTAACCGAAAGAATGGTGAGAGCACTCAAAGAAATTAAAATATTACCCAAAATGTAATCTCTGAAATAAAAAGAAAACATCATAGTGTAATAACGTTATGAATAAGACACTTTTTAAATTTCTGTGTTAGTCTCACTCTCATACGTGGAGCCACTTATAAAGCTGGCTCGGACTGCACGCATTTAGCAAATCACTGCTTGGACTTTAGCTGGGTTCTTCCCAAAACTTGATCTGATGTACCACCAGGAACGCAGGAGGAAAGTCCTATAGAATAGTCCAAAATAGTGCACCTAACGTGTTTCGGCGATGTGCCTTCAGAGGTGATACAAGTGACTCTGGCGTGCAGTCTTTTTTAAATCCGTTCTTGGCGCCCTTTTCGCCGCATTCACGGCACTTCATTTCCGGGTTTGACATCAGGACGTCTCTCTTTACTTCCGGATCCAGTTGCCAAGACGTGTTGGAACCATCATAATAATAAAGAGTTTAAACTTGTGGAATATAAATGTAAAAATCCACAGCAAATAAAGAAAATATCAACAAGATAAATAATTAAGATATTGGACTACTATATAACTATATTGAAATACATTTAAAAACACACACTTTGTGTTTACGATGTTGTAACTTATTTTTCTACTTAAAACATTCTAATTTTATATTATCATGGAGAAATGAGATATAAAATCATACATATATTAAATGGAGATTTTAATTCATGAGGAGATAAAAATTAGAAATTATTTTATTTTTTTCTCTTTTCTTTTATAAAAAATATATTAAAAATAAAAAAATTGGATTAACAACTATACATTACACAAAAATATATTTCTCAAATTAAGTATAAAACCTTTTTATAATTCATCATAGAGTATCCAAACTTTTTTTTTTTTTACAAGCCCATAATGGAGATCCAAAAGGCATAGAATTTATAGGGATATACCAGGTTAAAGTCCACTGGAGAGGTGGTGACAAGGATCATATCCTAGGTCTAGCTGAAATTAAATGAATGTTTGAACTAGAAACTGACACCAGATGGATTGAACGTTGATTTTGAAATTAATAAATATGTATAAAGGTTTTATAGTTAATTTGAGATATATTTTTTTCGTGTAATGTATAGTTGTTAATCCAATTTTATTTTTTATATATATATATATTTTTTTTTTATAAAAGAATATTTTTTTTTTCTAATTTTTATCTCCTCTTGAATTGAATCTCCATTTAATATATGTATGATTTTATCTAATTTCTCTTTGATAATATAAATTAGAATTAATGTTTTAAGTAGAAAAATAAGTTACAATATCGTAAACACAAAGTGTATGTTTCTAAATGTATTTCAATATAGTTATATAGTAGTCCGATATCTTAATTATTTATCTTGATATTTTCTTTATTTGCTGTGGATTTTTACATTTATATTCCACAAGTTTAAACTTTCTATTATGACGGTTCCAACACGCCTTGATAACCGGAACCAGAAGTAAAGAGAGACGTCTGGACGTGATGACGCAGGACGCGTCCTGACGTCAAACCTGGAAATGAAGTGCCGTGAATGCGGCGAAAAGAGCGCCAAGAACAGATTTAAAAAGACTGCACGCCAGAGTCACTTGTATCACCTCCGACGAAGGCACATCGCCGAAACGCGTTAAGTGCACTATTTTGGACTATTCTATATTACTTTCCCGTAATTTTATTTATCATCTTTTGTGAATTTTTTTTATTTTTTTTTTTTTTTAATTGAATTTTGGAGTACAAAAAAAAATGTGGATACCCCTGAACCTGCGTTCCTGGTGGTACATCAGATCAAGTTTTGGGAAGAACCCAGCTAAAGTCCAAGCCGTGATTTGCTCAATGCGTGCAGTCCGAGCCAGCTTTATAAGTGGCTCCACGTATGTGAGTGAGACTAACACAGAAATGTAAAGTGTCTTATTCATAACGTTATTGCCCTATGATGTTTTCTCTTTATTTCAGAGATTTATTACATTTTGGGTAATATCATTTTAATTTCTTTGAGTGCTCTCACCATTCTTTCTGTTAACTAATCACTTCTATCTGTTTAGTGGTTATTGTGGCCCACTAAGGTGATTGTAGCACCATCACTTTATTTACTTTTAGGAAATTTCACTTGTGTATTGTATTTTACTTAAGAAAATTTAAATGTAGAAACACATACTTTGGTTTGCAGCTGGGCACTCCATCTTGGCTGCCTGTCAAACATTGTTATAAGCTTTGTCCTTTGCACCTGGCAAAGGAGAAATGAAACCGTTTTGCCTCATTTTCATTTGCTGTGTTTGCTCTGGCTGTGCCTTGTCTGGACTAGATGATGTACTTTGCTAAATTAATATCATTTTTATAAGAAAACACGTCTCATGAAAAAAGCTCAACACAAATGATTACCAGTATAGGTGATTTTCATTGTATTGATTGAGTAAATTCCACAGACATGACGTGACTTCTCCACTTTAAAATTAACCATAACCTTTTTGGTTGCAATTTGTAGATACAAAGTCAAATTACAAAGTCAATATTACAAAGTCAATATATATATAATTTTTTTAATTATTTTTTTTCCTAATTAAATTTGTTCTATTTCAGCTCAGCGAACGAGCACGTGAGCGGAAGGTACCAGTCACGCGGATCGGCAGGCTTGCCAACTTTGGAGGTATTACTAGCTTTAGAACACTTTGTAAAAGTTTGCAAGTGGAATTCTAACAGACAAGTACCTTTTCAAGTAACCAAACCCCAAATTACGTAAGTCCTTGGCGCATTGTAATTGAGACCATTGCAGACAATAAAGCTCTTGTTAAAGGTTATATAGACACACATAAGTACTGTCTCCCAGAATCTTTTGTGTTCTGTCAATTGGAGGACCAATTGGATTGAAATATAGTTATCTACCCTGTTCAGTAATAGGACTGGCACACACTATACATCAGGGGTGTCCAAATATTGTAGAACTACAACTCCCATGCCTTTTTAGAATGACAAAGGGTCATGGAATTTGTAGTTTTAAAACATCTGGGGATTTACCTTTCGGGCAGTTTGGTGTACAGACTGTATTTACAGTGCATCCATTGTAACCTGTCTTCAATCTGGCTATGTTGTATGCGACTTGCTTGATTATGCATGGAAGCCAGTAATTTTCCATTTTGATAATTTAATTACTTTTGCTTTAAAGTATTAAATTATGTTTTAAATTTGTGAAACCGAATATGATTGAAACATTCGCTGCGCTGCTTAAATGGCAATAAATTGATTCAAAATGCACAAATAGTTTTTAAATATCTCCTGTCTCTTTACCTCAAGTGGAAAATAAGGGCATTTAGTCACAACCTATAGCCGTGTTTTATATCCAAGGTAGCTATATTTCTGCCTGACTTTATACATTGGATGGCTAAATATCTATATCACTTTCTGTGTTTCTAATCTGAGCCCTGACCAGTTTTTTTTGGGATAAGCACCCTAACAGCCATTCATGTTTTAGATTCCTATGGAAGCTCTATCTTTGCTTCCTCTGGCACCTTTTGGGTTAAATCTAAAAATGAAACCGACTTTGATGTTTATCCTGGATTTCTAATTGTGACATTAGCTATTTATTAATTGTGGCTGCCCAAGCCTGTTGGCAGACAGGGTCGAATTGCTCTGTTTATCTCATTACCGTTGTGGCCCCACGTTTTATTATTCTGTTTTCACTGTTCACCTTGTTGCTCTCTAATTTAGCTCTACGAGGGGGAGGATTATTATGCCAATAATGTAGTTAATATATTTACTGGTTCTGTATTCATTCATACATGACTTTGCGTGGAACTTAAAATGACCTTTTCTGTTTCTCCTACAATTATCCTTGACTTTTTCAGGGTTTGAATCTTGCATTTTTAAATCTCCAAATGATTGTTTTTGGTGGCATTGCACATTTTGATGATCTGATACCTATAGAAATTTGTGTAATTTGTGCCTTTTCTTGGTGCAGGTTTGGCTGTTGGTCTGGGTTTAGGCGCGTTGGCTGAAGTAGCAAAGAAAAGCTTAACTCCAAAAGCAGAGGACAGTAACGGTAAGTGGCAACCTGGAAATAATTATTTTTATTTTTTTATTTTAATATGTAGTATAGTACTGTATGTAAAGTACAAATGTTTTTTTCTTTTACATTTGAATTTGTTCCTGAAAGCTTTGACTTAAAAGAACTCTCCTATAAACATATCCACTATCAGGAAATATGCTGCAAGAACCACAGTTGGACACAGTGTTTACGAACGTTTAGGGTTTTGTACCGTAATTCAGTGTTATTGGCAGTAACTGTCAGTGTGCATGTTTGGTGGAGATGAACTGTTGCATTACCAGAGGGCAAAGCCGCAGTTGAACAATCTAACCATTAAGGCAGGCTAGTGTGAATTCTCAAAACATGAAATCCGGTTGCCTGCTGATCAAATCATTGTTTTAGGCTTTTACATTTTTTTATTTCTTTTTTAAATTGTATTTATTTTTTGTAGTTTTGATCTATTTTTATGAATTTGGCTTTCGTTCTCAGTAGCCCATGAGGCAGAGGGAATGTTGGTCTGTGGTTTACAGTGCTACATGCAGTTTTATAAGAGCAAACGTATAGTATATGTTGAGTATATACATTTATAACCCTTCATGCTACCAGAGTTACTAATCTTTCAATATTAAGACAATGACGTAAGGAAAATCCCTCTGTAAAGGTATCGATAAACTAGTCACAATAAATCTGGCATACAGAATGATATTTCAGGTCACCATAGGTAGCTGGTACGATTACCAGAATGCCAGGTAACCCGTAGATTTATTTCTAACCTTCTGAGCACTTCAAAACATTTAAAATATTTCCTAAAGCAAGTTTTCTTCTGCCAGAAAATCCATGCAATCTTTATTTTTATGACCGGGTTATTAATTAAAGCATGAATTGTTAGGAATTAAGAGTACATTTCTAATTTTAGTGCACAATACTTGATTTGGCATAATTAAACTAATTATTTTTATTTTTTTTTCTCATTTTTGAATTTTGTCCCAAAATTCACACTTGAGTGAATAACCCTGTGTTGGTACCATTCCTATGGGAACTAATACCTCAGACCATTTTAAAGGAAGATGAGGTAATGAACCCACAAATAAACTTGCCTTCATTATCCCGGAGTGCTGCCTATGTTCCTCTTCTTTTGATCTCAGCCAATCACAATGAGCAAACACTGCCCTGGCCAATCAGAATCTCCTTGTGGAGAACAATTAATTCATTGCATCTCTGTGAGGAAAGTTTTGCATGGAGACATTTAATGGGAAAAAAAAGCCTGCGTGGACTGACTGTACTCACCAGAACATGTATGTGTGTGTGTATATGTATGTATGTGTGTGTATATATAATGTGTGTGTGTGTGTGTGTGTGTGTTTTTTCACTCTATTATGTAGATGCTTTAGAAATGCAAACAAAAATTCAAATACATTACTTGCCTCCTGAGATCCTGATATTTTCAGTCTTGGATAAGCGAACTATATTTAAGTAGATTCCTCTCTTCCCAGAACTTTACAAATCGGGAGCTTCTAATTTTGGTCTATGGGGTTTGATCTTTTCTCACAAATCTCTGTCCATCAAGGCTTTACAGGGTAAGACGTTTATCTCCAGCAGCTGCTGCTAGTTTTATGATCTGAGCAGTTCATTAATTGGTGTGGTGGTGGACTGCAGATCCCTGCAGTTATAACCACTGTCAGAGCTGTGTGAGTGCAATAATACAAAGTTATGTTGCTTAGTGTGACACTTTCACTTTTTGACTGGAAATAACATAGTTCTGCCTCATACTCCTTTATACCTGCTATTCAACAGTCACTAATTCTACACTGACTTGTTTCACCTTTCATTATCTCTTTCCAATCCTCCAAGGTGGGGGGTGGGGGAGACGGGTAGGAAGATTTTTCTACTTATCTACCCACGGACTACAAATGTTTTACTATAAGCTTCAAAGGTACTTAATTCTCCAATACAGTGTTATACAACATTCACCCTGAGTGTGTTGGCCAACAAATAGCACAGACTCTGTCAAAGCTCATTTGAGATGTTCCACCTTTGAAATCCGTAAAGGGACACTATAGTCACCAGAACAACCATAGCTTAATGTAGCTGTTCTGGTGTCTAAAGGCCTGTCCCTGTCGGCTTTTTGCTGTGAACACTGCTTTTTTCAGAGAAAAGGCATGGTTTCCATTCTGCCTAGGGACACCTCCAGTGTCAGTCACTAAAATGGTCACTAGTTGTGTTTCCTGGGTCAATGTTGCATAACATGCAGCACTGATAGTGATGGGCTAGTACAAAGTTACCTTTTTTGGCATGTCCCTGTTAACTGCAATTGGCTAGAAGACCTCTCCTACAAGCCTTTATATCCTAAGCTTCGCTGTAGTAATCTCACCATTTGAAAGTCTAGAAGTGTCTCAAAAGCTGTTTACTTAATTGACTAAAAAGATTAAAGTACTGACATTTGTCTTGTGATGTGTTTACCATGTATAACCCAGATGTATAACTTTTCTTTAAGTTCTAGGCGGTTGGGTTGTTCACACATCCATGTTTTTGGCTCACTCTGTGTTTTGATATTGTTTCAGAATTTTCTTAAACCAGAAGGGGAAAAAAACAAAAACTCACTTTCCAGAGTTTACACAATTCATTGCAAAATCCCTGTTTTTTTTGTTTTGTTTTTTTTTGTAACTCCTGCCAGCTGTCCCGGTTTCCTCTGCCTGTGCAGCACTACTTACACTGACATTACGATTACTGTTGCTTGGCAGATCTGTTCCTGGCCAAAACAAAGTGTAGAAGGGAGGGGGGATGGAGGTGTGGAAGGCCTTGTCTCTTCTGAAACTCATTTTGCATTTTGTTTCTCTTTTTGGCGTGAATGATTACTTGCCACACAATTGATTCTTTAACATGTGATGGCTTGTATCATATCGCAATACATCCCAAAGGTGTTCGCGGTAGATTAGTGTTTGTGTCTCACTGTATGGTTTGAGGGCCTGGTCTTTGTAAGTCACTGCAATACTTATTAATCTCCATTGGGTCCCTTTCTGGCCAATATCCCCATTTCTCTTTGCAGTGTCCCTTTTCCAGTAAGCACAATGTGTAGTGAAAAGTACCAGAAGTCCATTTCTAGTGAATAGAACTGGACATTGTAGCGTTTCTCTATCGCCATGCAAAGAATGGCTTATAACAGCAGCTATTTTATCAAATTCGGCAACCTTCCCTACAGTACGTCACCTCTGATCAGGACTCTGGAATTCCTTCTATGCCTGTCTGTATGCAACAAGCACATTCAGGTTGTGAAGCGCTGGAAAAAAAAACAAACCCCAAAAAAACAGGTCAAGGTGGTTAGTGTAGGTTGCTGCCTAGAACAGTTTGGATCGGCATGGATGCCTGTTCAAGTTGACTAGGGCTCAGTCTGAATGGGAAGCACTGGATCATTCCTTGGAATAAACCAGTTTCTGGGGTTTGTTTTGTATCAGTGACTCTAACAAACTGGAACAGAGTAGATAACACTAGATCAAATGAGCAATGTAGTAAATGGTAACCTATGATTTCATTGTTGTGATAAATGTTACTGTTTTTAAACACTCATATTTGTGTTCAGCAAAGTCTCCCGAGTATAACAATACCCCCCATGTACAGGTTTTATGATGTTTTGGAAAGTTAGAGTCAATATAGGGATTGCCCAATTCAGTTTTCTATGGTGCCTTTTGAGACCACGTGGTAGCCCAGAAATGTGAATTAACCCCATCATGGCATACCATTTTCAAATGTAGACAACCCAGGGTATTCAAAATGGGGGTATTTCCAGTCTTTTGTAGTAGCTACTTGGTTACAAACGCTGACCAAAGTTAGCGTTTTTATTTTGCTTTTGCATTATTTTACACAAAACTGCACTTTTACTGGTGATATCATCGTTGTGATAAGTTTCACTTTTTAAAACACTCATATTTGTGTTCAGCTACGTCTCCTAAGTATAACAATACCGCCCATGTAAATGTTTTATGGTGTTTTAGAAAGTTACGGGGTTAAGTATAGGGCTTGCCAATTAAATTCTCCTGGACTGTCTGCCGGGGTTGTCATGCAGGTCCCTCAAATTATAATTAATAAAATCAAATAATTATGTAGTTAATGTGTGTAAACACCCTTTTATTTCCTATATGTATAGTTTATTCTAAGGAAATTGGCACAAGCCAGGTCAATTTGTCCAAAAGAATTCCTTTATTCAGTACTAAAAAGAAAACCTCCAAATACGCGTTTCGCCGATGTTGATTTCTTTTAAAAGAAAGCCACATCGGCGGAACGCGTATTTGGAGGTTTTATTTTTAGTACTGAATAAAGGAATTCTTTTGGACAAATTGACCTGGCTTGTGCCAATTTCCTTTAAATTTTTATTTACCATTTTAAAATATATTTGGATTATCTACTGCTGCTCTAGCGAGACCTCCTACCCTCTCTAAGATTTTTAATATGTTAAAGAACCACTCTAGGCACCCAGACCACTTCAGATTAATGAAGTGGTCTGGGTGCCAGGTCCAGCTAGGGTTAACCCATTTTTTCATAAACATAGCAGTTTCAGAGAAAACTATTCTATAGTTCAGAGAAACTGCACCCTCAGGGCACTATAGTGCCAGGAAAAAGAGTGTGTTTTCCTGGCCCTATAGTGGTCCTTTAATAGCTTTCCCTTCCAGCACCCTGTTTTCTCTCCTGCAACTGTCATAAAAAACAAAACACCAAGTACTTCAGTCAACATTATTCTCGCAATCCACTTTTCTACCCCCTACCCCACTCCCTGTAGATGTAAGTGCAAGGCCCTTTCTGTTCCTGTGTGTCTAACGCGTCTGGTTAGTTACGTGTCTGTTAGTCCACCCATTGTACAGCGCTTCAGAATTTGTTGGTGCTTTATAATAGGACATTTCAAATAAAACCGGCTAAAACAAGTTTATATGTGGTTTTCAATGTTCTAGTTAATTGTGTAACTTCCAGCTGTGATTCCAATATAAACAGTAAACTAATCTCAAACACAATGCAGTACTCCAATACGCTGCCAATATCCTGCCGTAATTTAGCTGCAGGGTAGCATTAAGCGGACTGTTCCTATACTGACTTGGAGATGAACTGATCCATGTGCCCTTTGCCATTACTGGCTACTGCTAATTGCTGATCTACAGAACGGGAATGTTGCAAGCCAAAACAATGTGGTTTGAGAACTTGTTAGCAGTATGAAGCAGTGTCACTTTAAAATCATTGCTCACTATCTCTCCTTCCCCCCCCTTTTTTTTTTTTTTTTTAAACTACATATCTATTTAAAAATGCTGGGAGACATTCAGTTTTGTTTAAATGTATTTTGGACCTTTTTCTCAACAAGCACTGCTTCTAAAGGTGACTGTTTTTACCTTTTGTTTCAGCATAGTTAGCTGTAGATCTTGCAATGATCTAGCTATGGTCTTTCTGAATAGAAATTCCTGTTTAAACTCTTTTTTTCCAATAAATGGCAAACTTTGACCGCATCAGAGGTAAGCAGTGGGTACAGATTGCTTGCAGCTTATAAAAGCTTAAACCAGAAAGGTTTACATATCTTCACCCAATCCATCTATAGTCACGAAACCACTTTAGCTTAATGAAGCAGTTTTGGATTATAGATCATGCCACTGCAGTTTCCCTGCTCAATTCTGACATTTAGGAGTTAAATCACTTTTTTTTTTTTTTCTTCTGTTTATGCAGCCCTAGACACACCTCCCCTGGCGGTGACACACTGTTTCATTTTCAATCAGATGTAACAACTTTACTTTAAAATATATTTATCTTCTGCTATGTAATTTGAACTTTAATTATATGTGGGAGGCTCTAGCCAGCTATTAGCTGAGCAGGATACAAGCAATTCTAAATTAATCAGAACTTGCCATAAAGGAAGTGTAAACATTAGATCACTCTTTACAGGAAGTGTTTAGGAAGGCTGTGTAAGTCACATGCAGGGAGGTGTGATAAGGGCTGCATAAACAAAGTGACTTAACTCTTAAATGGCAGAGAATTGAGTAGTTGGGTTGCAGGGGCATGATCTACACACTAAAACTCCATCATTAAGCTAAAAATGTTTTGGTAAATAGATTAACCAGACTACAATTGTGGACAAGTATTCATATATTTTATTTGCTTTTAAATACTTGTTTAGATTGGTTTATCTGCAGCAGCTGCCATGAAACTTGTAATGCACTTAGAAGTAGATGAGGGAAACCCCTTTCTAGGTCACGAAAAGACAAATAATAATGGTACAATAAAAGAGCATAAACTTGAATAAAAATCCCCATGGAAAAACATCTGGGCCTATATGACTTGCATGTCGAGACTAGTAGTAAGTGTTGGGATATGAGGTGAGGGCCGTGAGCTGAGCTTGTATCGATCTGTCCCTCTAGGGGCCTTATGGTGGTGGCAGCTTGCTCTTGGGGGGATATTGGCCCTAAAATGTGCTTACTCCATGTTTGTTAACATGGTCACCCAAACTGAACATGGGACTTAAGATAAAGAGGTAGGACCAGGAATCCTTGCGTCTGATTAGGCCCAGCACTATTCTTTGCACTCTGCACATGTTGAGATTCACAAGTAGGCTAGCTAGGGTGAGGTTGTGATCCCTATTAGAATATGTTGGTACACCTGTGGGACCCACTACCAAATCGGTTAGCTTGACTGAGGGACTGACTCCCAAGTCCAGCAGTGATCAATGCCACAACCTAGCATACAATTTAAACATACATTCTGACATGACATAAGGAACAAAGATCACAAGGATAAAACTGTATTTTATTTATTTTTAAATTTATTTAATGCACCCTTGGTAGTGTATTCAGTCTTCACACATCTGAGTGTTAATTCGAATACATATTGGATATTGACCATGAACTAGGCTGGTAGGATATTGTAATTGCAAGATATTCTCTTTACTCCCTGAAAACCCTTGGCAACAAAATACTGCTTTATTCAAATTTTGTTTATAATGCTTCAATCCAGCTCTGAGGGGGGGGTGGGAAATCTAAATTGCCAATGTGCAAAGTGCCCTTGCTTGAACACAGTGAGTTAGTTGGTACCCTGTGCTCCGCTGTTTTTCCTTCTGACACTTTTATTGCTGTGTGCTAGGCAAAGAATCATTGTCTTTTCAATTACTGCTGTACATATACCCCTGGCAAATTGTTTATTAGTGAATGAGTGGTTCTCCTCCTCTGTGTATAATTCTCTTTCCCTGAGGTTAAAGCTGATCTATAACTTTTAGGCTTCTTTGCCTATTTCTCAAAGACCCCCAAAGTGACAGATCTCATCCAGTGGCCACGTGGTGCAAGGGCAGATGAGTTTTATTTACCCCCAAGCTGCTGCCGCCATCTCCGTCCTGCAGATCTTCATTTGCCCAGAGTCGTGTCAATGGTGTACTCTAGTCACGGGCGAGAGAACACTAAGGTCTACGGCTGCTGTGATTGGACAAGTTGATGGTGGAGCTCTGCCTTTTGTCAACGTACAAGTTTTTACTTTGTCTTAAGGTGTCTTTGGATTGCATTAGAATTTCAGTGAAATTCCAGTACAGATTTACATAGTTAAAGGGACACTATAGTCACCCAGACCACTTCAGCTCAATGAAGTGGTCTGGGTGCCAGGTCCCTCAGGTTTTAACCCTTCAGATGCAAACATAGCAGTTTCAGAGAAACTTGGGGTTAATCCATTCTCTAGTGGCTGTCTTCCAGACAGCCACGAGAGGCGCATCTGCAATGCTGGCGGCACATTTCGCCTCCATTGCGCAGAGCGTCCATAGGAAAGCATTGAGAAATGCCGCGCGGCACTTGCTGCGCATTCAGCTCCGCTGCCGTCGGAAGGGGGAGCCCATTGCTGGATTAAGGTAAGCTTCAGTGCCACAGCAGTGATCCTTTAAAAAAGAGACATGCATTCACAAAGTTCAGCCTTTCTCATATGTTTTTGCTGTTGATCTAAAAGAAAGCAAAACAAGTTTTGCAGCAACAAACTAGAGGGGGGAATCATTTTTGGGCCCCAGAACAGACAGTCATCACCCCTCAAGAAGCCATCACCCCACAGATTATATCCCTGAATATTATGTTTTTGAAAGCATTCATCCAGTTGCTGTTTAAACATCTGTACAGACTCTATAAAAACCACCTCTTCAGAGAATTCCACATCCTTATTGTTCTTGCTGTAAGTAACCCTTTCCTTTGCCTTAGACGAAATCTTCTTTCTTCTAGTTTAAACTCATGACCTTGTGTCCTATTTATTAATAGATTTCCAGACAATGGTTTGCATTAGCTCCGAATATATTTGTAGAATGCTATCATATCCCCTCTGAGCCTCTGTTTTTCTAAACTGAATGTTAACCTTTTTAAAAATAATTTAAATTGCTCAATTCCTTTTTATTAATTTTGTGGCCTGTCTCTGCACTTTTTCTAGTGCCATAATATCCTTCTTTAGAAGAGGTGCCAAAAATTGCACAGTATATTCAAGAAGTGGTCTTAACCGTGATTTTATAAAGAGGCGAAATTCTAATTTTATCCTGAGAATAAATGTTCCTTTTGTACAGGCCTGAGCCACTGCTGATTGGCATTGCACATTATTGTCTAGTTTGTTTATAATTCCCAAATAATCAGTATTTTGTTAAAAAAAAAACAAACCAAAAAAACCTGTCAAATGACAGATGCAACCTTTGTAGCATTTGAAGTGGATTTTACATAGATGTGAACCGTGCTAAATATATGTGACATCTTACAACCCTCAAAAATTCTCCTTAGTGCATAATTTGCAGGAATTGCACTGGTTATTGGTGCCAATAAATAGGTAAATAAAACTTCTGAAAATTTGAGGCATGCTTTGTTTTTGATCAGACCTCCACAAGCACCGTTCTTACATTAAAACCTCTTGCAATGCGTGTCTTTGTTTAGGTCCAATGAATAGCATCCTATAAAGGCACAATAGTTACAATATTCCACTGCCCACTCATGCCAGCTGGTTTGAAGCAGTACAGTTAGGAATGTTCCCCTAGCAGGCTGTGTGTGTGGTTGGTTATAGAGTTGCAGTGTGGTGAAGGGCCTATTGTTTATTGTATAAACACAATATACCAGGCCAGCCATTGGTAAATATCCAAACAAAGATGATCTATCCCGAAACAGTAACCACATCTTAAATTTCCTTTGCACGTCTAGCCTCTCATATTGCTGTGCAACTGTATTTGGGAGATGCAGGGTTTAAAAGAACATGTCAGTGTGTGTGTGTGGTTTTTTTTTTTTTGCAATTTGGTAGATATACCCCAAAAGGACTATATGGGAGAAAAAGGCTTTGACTGCTGGAGAGGTGTCCCTCCAATGTTTTTATAAAAGTGCTGATTTCTATTGTAATTTACTACTAAAGTATTAAAATGTGTGCTGTTTTCAGGTGATTTTGGTGCTGGCATAAAACTGTAAGTCCCTGTTTAATTTATAATTAAAGGAACCCTATAGAGTCATAAATGTGTATTCCTGACCCTACAGTGTTAACACTATTTAACCTCTTTGACCCTCTTAAATAAGTTAGACTTTCCTTTATTCCAATGCTGGCCTTGCCCACGATCCGCCAAGGAGGCGGATCCGGGGTGTAGCCAAACGCCTACCTGGCCAATCAGCTATCCTCCTAGAAATGCATTGAGTCAATGCATCTCTCTATAGTTAAAGTTCAGTGTCTCCATGCAAAGGGGGGGAGACACTAAATGGCAGTGCTGCACCTAGGAAGCATTTCTAATGGCCGCCCAAGTGACTGTCACTAGAGGTGTTATTAGGCTTTTTCCTCTGAAAAGGCAGTGTTTACCGCAAAAGCCTGCAGGGAAATACTATACTCGCCAGAACTACATTAAGCTGTAGGTGACTATAGTGTCCCTTTAAAGTATCCTATGCAAAGTGTGTGTATTCACAGCATTTAGGGCATATTTGTAAATTACATTATGATGTAAATTATTTTTATAACGTACCTTTTTTTTAAATTTTTTTTTTTTTTTTTTTATGCATTTATTTTAAATTTACTTGTTTGTTGGCATAAAGTGTTGGCCCAATCTACTTGTCTATTTATCCTGAAACAAAATAATTTCAAATTGGGGCCCCTGCTTAAAGCCTCTTTTGTGGCATATTTTCTAAAAAATAAAAAAATCAAATAAAAAAAAATATATAATTTTTCACAAATAATATCCAGTTGAAACAGGGGACAAATAGCAGCTGACCTGAAAAAAATGTTCAGCTCCACTCTAATCACAACATGGCTATTTGTGTGTTTTTTTTTTTGTTTTTTTTCTTCTGTTTTGACATTCAGATTAGATCATCTAATTTTTAGAAGTACCGACACAAAAGGGAAGAAGGGAAAAAAAAAAAGATTCCCGTTTAACGTTTTCTCTATAATATAATTTTTATTCTCCAACTTGGAATACAAGTAAATGACTAGATATAATTTGAGTACAATAAAATTATTGGATATAATGCAGTAATTTAATGGTAAACTGGTTCCATTCCAAACAATGTTGTATTCAGGATTGGCTGAGAAATTTTAGCCATTTCCTGGTTCCGGAATCTACATACAAATTCGCAAATGAATAAATTTTTACATTCTTTTACTGCGTTATTTGTAAAATGCACTAAAATTTTCTCCACAACAGCCAAAGATTTCTGCATTGATATGCTGTCATTTAATTATTATTAATTTATTTATTTTAATTTTTTTTTAAATATAGGTAAAAAATCTGTAATGGAGTCCAGTCCCTTCTTGTCAGAGGCCAATGCAGAGCGGATTGTGAGGACCCTGTGCAAGGTCCGTGGAGCGGCTTTAAAACTGGGACAGATGCTGAGCATTCAAGGTGAGATATGATCAATTATTTCATTATAGTTTCTGTAGCATTTATTCTCTTGATGCAGTGGCGTCACTAGGGTGATGTGGGGAGTGTGGACCTCATCTGGGTGACACCACCTTGGAGGAACTTTCTCTTTTCGAGTAATCCTCCTGGTGCCACCTCACTCATGGCACTGGCGCATCTCTGCAGGGAGGGCAAACGCTGTGATAGGTAAAAAGCAGAATGTGGCACGCAGTATATTGTGCCTTGCGTAGTTACATTCTGGTGGTCTGTTCTTCCTTGTGGGTGGCTGCTGAACAGTAGCTGCCCCTTTGTGTCCCTATCTGTCCCACTGGGGTGAGCAATATTTTTGACAATGTTGCCACTGTCTGCTGCATATTACTACAGTAAGTTTGTATAACTTTACTATTAAAGTGCACAGTGAGATATGTAAAGTTAATTTTTTTGTTTTAATTTTATTTTAATGATTTTATACTTTTCTCTGGGACCTGCCTTAACTTCAGTGTGTTCATGTGCTTGTATGATTGATTGTATGTGTCTGTGTGAGTTTCTCTATGACTGTGTGTCCTTATGACTGAGTATGGAATACATTGATGTTCTTTGCACATTAAAAAACAAAAATTTACTTAGCTGGGGGTGACACCAAGAGTTACCACACCGGTTGACACCAACCCTTTAGATGCCACTGTCTTAAAGGACAGGGAGTTATGCAAAATAAGAAAACTAACACAACCCCTCTGTGTCTTGTATTCTGGTGTTTCAGAGTTCTGGGATGCCAGTGCATCAATTGTTGTTGCAGGTTTTTTGGTATGTTTTGTTTGGCTGGAACATCAGATGTCCTTGGCAAGGTTTTTAGACACTATTTGAACACCTGTATGATAACATTTGCCACACCTCTTTTGAGGCATATCATGTTCTTTAAAAGAGGTAATGTGTTTGATTACTTACTCTTTCCTTCCTTCTGAATGAGTGCAAATAACATTGTAACAGTTATTTAGTGATCACCTTTACTGTGAATTTTAGTTGTTTCAGTAAAACCCCTCAGGTGATATAAACGTACATTGTGTATTAATGATTTTGGCCTGGATCTCTAGCTTAGTCCTGGGTATTGTATTGGTACTTATCTCCTCTATTGGGGACAACATGGCCTTCAGGAATCCTTGTTGCAGGAGGTAAAGATTATACCGACGAGACTATAACTGCTGGGGGTCTTTAAAACGCAGTTTGTATGTTTAGTTGTATCACGGCTAGTTGGTTCAGTCACTGGGAGGCCTTATTTGTGGTGTCTGCTCTGTTTGTTTTGGGTAGCTTTAATGGTTCCTGTTGTGAGGCTGCCTTTAGACACCGTTTTTTCTGTGGTTTGAAAGACCAAACACTTGCAGGTCAGAAATGGTTTCTTAATTAAAGGCTTATTCAAATTCTTGGTGGAGTTTGTTTCCTTTTGTTCCCTCTTTTATTATTTTCAAACACCCGCAAACAAGATTAAATCGGGAGCTGTAAATCTCTGCTAAATACATGAGTGATGCTATTAATCTGACCAGAATGTTCCATCATCTTCACTCTTGGACAACCTGACGTCCTGCAGGTAGAGGAAAATCACATAATCTTACCTAGTTGTTTTACATTAACTCCTAAATAACCAATGAGTTTCTGTGACATCAGGAGTTGGTAATCACTAGTATTGAGTAGTAACTTACTAACTTTTAGATTTGACAAAGATCCACTTGGTGCCAAAAGACTACACAGTCTGTCTTTTGGTCTAAATAAAACTTTCAGTGTATATGGACTTGCCTTATTGTATTTTCTTATTAGTAGATCTAGGAGTTGGGGTCACCTACACACGGTCCTTCTGAATTACTTGCTTACCAGGCTAGTGACATCTAATAACAGCCATTTTGTAACATCAGGGCCTTTTAAAGCTATTGATGCCAAGTAAGCTGGATCTTCCGTGCTGGTATGTCTTCAGTGTCTGTATTGTGGTGAGGAGTAACACTGGATCTAATGAGTCTAATGTGAATAACCACTTGTGCATGTTGTAACAATTTTGCCAATTCTTTGCACATTGGATGTCTGTCAACACACACAGCATGCTGGAGACAGGTGTCCAATTGTGGACTGAACAACCTTGTCCCACTTTGCACAATGCCTCCCCTGCGTCCCTTCATCCCCAGTGATGGAGAGTGACACCACCAGAGGAGGACTCGGCTTCTGTAAGAACATGGCGCTTTAATGATGGTTAGGGTTCTCCGATCAAAAAGTGTTTTATTAAAACATTGTTTTTCTGTAACCTTTAATATTAAATGAAAAGCCAAGGTTTCTGGAATGTCGTATTCATTCAGCGTTCTCTCCACACAGCTTCTAATTTTAATAAGCAGCCTGCAGGGTGTTCCGTGCTAATATTAGGGTCTCTAATTTCTGAGATTATTGCTTTTTCTGTGGGTGTTCTTAGTCTCTAATCCTAATGCTCCTAATCCCACTGATTGACGTATCTGACATGACAAATGTCGATCTTTCTTTCTTGTAACGCCCTGGCCGGTCTAGAAGCCCTTCTTGATGTTATTACCTGTCGGTTGACACTCTCTAGTGAAGCCACATCTTACCTCTATTGAAACAAGTTGTCCACAATTTACTTTATCATTGTCCGCCAAGTAATTGTATGTCGATCTGTCTAGATTTATGTGAGTGCCCAGTCTTTCTTTTCATGTATAGACATGCATTAATCACAGCCTATTAAAAATAACTGCTGCTACTCAAAATTCCAGGCGCCCTTTGGCTGTTTCTATAGCTTCCTGGGGCCCAGGGCTTGCACTTGTTCTGTAGGAAGTCTTGAACACTAAATATTATAGCCGTTTCATACATCAGAGGGTTTACACTGAGCCATGCTTTGACCAGGGAAAAGTGGCCAGAATAGCAGATCTGAAAAAGAAAATAACCAATTCAGTTTGTCTGTTTTGGCCTAAAATTCACAATATCCTGACCTTTTTGAACAGTTTCAGATTACTGAATAAGCGTTATTGTTTCAGGATATTGAGTCTTTGTTCATGTTGTGATTGTCATCTGGTAGGTATATTCCGTACACCTCCCTTCCCTAGACTTACTGAGAGCCTAATGAAAGTACTGGTCAAATGTCCCCACTGAGATTGCTCTAGGATTGAGGACACTGGATGTCAGCATGTCTAGGGAGGGTTTATTTAACTTAGAACTTAGAGAATAGGTGAACAATTGACCTGATACAGCTGTGATCTGATGAAAACTCCTTACTCTTATTCTGGAGAAACATTAACCTTTAAATCATTATGGACATGCATTGCGTACAGGCTTCATAAAATGTAATGGCCATTTGGCAGCCAATGGTATCCATTCTGTGGCCCAGAATCCTATTGATGACCCCTGAAATTATCTTCTTATTCTTCCATGTAGACATGTTAATATTTCATTCTGTTCTATGCGATCCTCCTGAGAACAATTCCAGTTGCTCTGCCCAACCATCCTATTCTGCCATTCCTATGCATTCTCAGCACCACCTACATCTGGAGACAAAGGTTTCATAGAGGCTTCTGTGCCACCTGTTAACCATTACGCAAGGGAGTGTCCCTGATGTTAAAGGGTTACCATGAAAGATCTCTAGATTGTAAGCTCTGTCATATCCAACTTATTCTGTTTCCTTTGTTGAATTTCCTCATTGATAATATTTTGAATTGCTGTGGAAGAAGCTTGTGCTATATAAATGTCAATAATATGAACAGTGACCACTTCAGTGATTTGCTTTTGTTTAATTCTTTAAATGTTGACTGGTCTGATCAGGATAGGAAGGATTATTCCAATAAGAAAACACTCGTTATGGTTAAAGTAACACTTTCAGAAATATATATCTGGAGAAGGACAGGCCTTTGAAGCCTTGGGCCATCCAAAAATGACCGGTAGAGGACTTGGTAGCTGAAAATTATAAAGAGTGGAGCTGCTTCTTTCAGATCACAAAATAGCCTGGAAATCTAACAGAAAATCTGATCTGAAAATGTCTTCATATTGTTTTAATGGTATGCCTGTCAGGTGAGACTGTGCAGGTTTTCTTCTCTTAAAGGAATAGTTCAGATAATTTAGTTTGCTTTAAACACATTGACCCATTTAAAGTAAAAGTCCCAAACTACCTGTTTGTGTATTTGACAGCAAAGGTCTGTTGTGTAAATCCGTGAGTCAGTATGTGTTTGTCTCCCATAAAGCCCGCTCTCCAGTTTGCCATAGCTGAGTTCCAGCTAATATTTGATATGCCAGTACATTTCCATTTCTGGGAGAAGCAGTTAGTTATGTATTATTAATATACCCCAGGCTAAATATTGCCAGTATTAACCACGTCACAAGAATTTGGCGATGACGAAAGGGGGGCGGAGCTTGCCGCGCTATCGCATGGACGTGTTCTGAGTGAGCTCCGTCCGAGCCGACCGGGAATCCGCTAACATCGGGCACAAACAACACGATGGGCCACCCAAAAAGAGCCTCCACTGCCCAGCACACCACCTCTAAGCAGCCGGTAACCAAATCCGGGGCGCTCACGAAATTTTTCCGCGATAATGCGGACCACCAAGCCGGCGCGCTAGGCCCCAATATGGCGCCGGAATCCCCGCACGACGGCTCAGCCCCTTCGAGCCCGGAGGGCTCAGATGCCTCACAATACCAACCAGATAGTGGCCTGAAAGAAGTGCTGCGCAACCTGCCATCCAAGGCAGACATCGCCGCCATGCTAGACAGGCTGGAGGTATCGTTCCAGACCAAACTGGAATCCCTGGGATCTGATATACGCCAAGTGAAAGAGAAGGTAAACACCCTGGAAGACGATAGAGACTTACTGACCTCACAAATGCATCACATGCAGGATACAATTCAATCACACACAATGCATTTATCTGCCATGCACAGAATAATAGATGACATTGACAACCGAGGACGCAGGAACAACCTGAGAATCAAAGGGCTGCCCGAACAAGACCAAGAAGACCTCCATGCCACGTTAGCCGACATGTTTAACCGCATCCTGGGTCAAACGGAGGACACACCGATCCTGTTGGACAGGGCGCACAGGGCCTTAAAGCCTCGCGGTACCCAGAGAGACCAGCCGCGTGATGTGGTATGCAGGGTACACTATTTCTCCACAAAAGAAGAAATACTTAGAGCCCTGCGACAAACCTCACAACCGCTACTATATCGGAATGACCCCATCCAAATCTTCCCTGACCTCTCCTGGCACACACTTCAAGCACGCCGCACACTGCGCCCTCTCACGGAAGCGCTAAGAGCCAGGAATATTCGATACAGATGGGGGTTCCCCCTCGCTCTCATTGCCACACACAATGGCAAAACGCACTCACTTTCATCAGCACAAGACATTCGGATATTCACAAGAGCTCTTGACCTTCCAGACATCCAAATCCCCGACTGGTACGGTGTCATGCCGACAGCTCCATCAGCCCCACTGCAACAGAGACAAAGGTGGCAAACCCCGGGAAGGAAGAGGAGGAATGACCGACCAGATAACTCGCCAAGCTCCAGCCCACCTACATGCACACAAAATCGCCACTAAAGTCCTTCAGCTCGCCCAGATTGTGGACCGCCATCACTGAACCGACTTCATGCTATTCCTCATCACTACCCTTCTAAATGAACTTTCTACACGCAAAGACCATCTCTGACACGTCTTCTCCGGCCTCGACACTCCCAGCAGTGCCCTCTCCCATTGGCACATCCCATGCGGACCCTGTGACGGGACTGATTGACTACCCTCCCGGTTTACTCATCTGACACCGGTCCGCCACCCACACGGACCCTACGAGTGCTCATGTGCTCCGCCACCACGACCAGGGACACGTAAGATGCTATGCAACCCACTCCAATCCTATCCCCTCCGTCTACCCTTACTCCCACTATGCTCCATATTATGTACCCTACAAAATTTTAACGTTCTAATGTATTAATGAAATATCTTTGCATGCACCATTGTGATGTAAGCCTTTCGGCCCCAGGGTCCCTTTTAACCGCTTCCAGCGAGGCAACTGCTATAGGGGCACCATCTCCCCTACTACCTTAATACAGTGTTGAACGTTTACAATCGAATACGATGTATCCCACATGGACCCTGTATAACTCATTGTACTTAGTGATGCAATTTCTGTTTTTTAATAACGTATCTTTTGGTGTCACTGATGGGAGCCTTCCCACGCGCCTCACACCAGTTGTCCTCACCTGCGGATCTACGCCCAGGACAGACCGAGGCGTGGGGGAAGACTCGGCGGACTGGCTCCAAAACTGTAATAGACTGTTCTCTTCTTTGTTAGTTGTTTACTGTTCCTTTTGTTCCTATCTCGTCACACTGGAAGGGGCCCAAGAGCGTAGCTAAACACCCGTCCTGGCCAACCAAGACAGGCTACTCATATCGCCAGAAGGTCACCCTTCAGGCCCCACACAATCCCTAACACCCTCCCTCCCACCTATAAGCCACTCTACAACATCATAACTCCCAGAGAGGGATGCCAACCCCGAACCCCACCAACCGAAGTCGCACCTCACCACTCCAAGCAATGACTGAGGGTCCACGATCCCCAGCCCATCTACGACTTTCTTCCATACCACAGAGGATTCCCCACCCCCGACCGCTCGGACGAATCTCTCATCTCACACGCAGAGATCCCATCTGCCCCCCCCCCTCCACAAACTACACTCTTCACACAGGCATACACCCCCCCCCCCTTACCCGAGACGTCGGGTACTTTCTCAACAACTGAGTAATCAATACTGGAAAACCACCCCAGTAGAGAGGCAACTACAACAATCCCCGGCTATCACCTGTAAATACCCGAGGACCGTTGCCATCGCTACCAGTTGTCCTGGAAACACATAACTCTATAAGGACTCGCTAAACAGGTGTTTCCTTATTTGTAAATAGTTAGTATTTTACTGTTTAACCCCCCCCCCTCCCCCAAGGTCCGAGTTCAAAGACCTTCCACCCTCCCACCCCTCCCAAAGACATGGCCACTCTGCGAGTAATCTCTCTAAACGCAAGAGGCCTCAATCTCCCCGAAAAGCGCTCACAAGTGCTATCAGAACTCCAGGCTCAGCACGCAGACATAGCATTCCTTCAGGAAACTCACTTCAAAGAAGGTGTAGCACCCACGCTCCATAACAAGCGCTACCCCACAGGCTATTTTAGCAATTACTCAGACTCCAAAGCGAGAGGAGTGGCCATATTAATAGCCGCCAACACTCCGTTTATATATAAAACCCACAAAACCACGGCCTCTGGGCGGTTACTTATGCTCAAAGGACAAATCGGCAGCACCACGATCACACTAGTCAACCTATATCTCCCTAACAGAAGACAGGGCAAATCACTTAGCAAATATCTCCACATGGTGGAGAGATTCACAGAGGGTATTCTTCTCCTTGGAGGCGACTTTAATATTTCCCTCGACACAACATTGGACACCACATCCACGGCCTCTTCCTACCACTCCACTGCCAGGAGAAGAATCACCTCGCTTTTAGATGACACACGCCTCTTCGACATCTGGCGCACCACACACCCCACGGCCAGAGACTATTCATTCTACTCACACGCAACTAAAACATACTCACGCATCGACATGCTATTCACACAACACCGGTTTCTCCACTTAGTGCAATCATGTGACTATGGTCCCATCACATGGTCAGACCACGCACCCCTGTCTCTTGCCATTCGCATCCCTAACCTGCCACCAAAATCCTTTCATTGGAAACTGAACGACCTACTGCTAAACAATACTGAAGTCACTGATAAAGCCCGTACCACTATCTCGCAATACTTCCAAGAAAACGCTCACCCCTCCACGTCACCCACCATCCTATGGGAGGCACATAAATGTGTCCTCAGGGGCCACCTCATAGCGATGGCCTCCAAACTCAAAAGACAACGCACCGAGAAAGCCACCCTACTACTAACTGAAATTAGAACCCTGGAAAACTCCCACAAACGTAATAACGCATTAGACACATACAAACTACTCGTTGAGAAAAGGTCAGAACTCCAACAAATTACCAACGCCAAATTCAAACAGCAGACGCTTTTTACTAAACACTCATACTACTCCCAAGGCGGTAAATGCGGACGCCTTCTAGCCAACGCACTCCGCGACACGAAACAATCCACCTTCATATCCAAAATCAAAACACCATCAGGAGACACGTCCCATAAACTCCCGGATATACTCAAAGCCTTCCAAGAGTTCTATGCCGACCTCTATAACATACGTAAAACCCCACCATCTAGACTCGAACTGGAGCAATACCTTGCTCCCCGAATCAAGCAGACAGTACCCAACAACCTCCTACAACACCTAGAGGAACCAATACACATAGATGAATTCCTTCAAATTGTACGCACCTCTCCCCTAGGGAAAAGCCCTGGCCCAGATGGCTTCACTACCAAATACTATAAGACGTTTTCAGACCTGCTCGCCACTCCCTTCGTGACAGCATATAATTCCCTGATCACCTCCCCTTCCCTACCAGACTCCACACTTGAGGCACACATTACACTCATCCCAAAACCCGGGAAAGACATTTCCCTCTGCGGAAGCTACCGCCCAATTTCCCTCATTAACAACGACCTCAAACTCTTTGCCAAGATTCTCGCCAACTGTCTCCGCCCCCTCCTACAGGGGCTAGTCCACCCTGACCAGGCCGGCTTTGTGCCCGCACGGGAAGCCAAAAACAATACCACTAAGCTGCTCAACTTAATACATCTAGCCCACAGATCGAACACACAGAGCCTACTATTAGCGATCGACGCTGAAAAAGCGTTCGACAGGGTGGACTGGTCCCTCATGTTCGCCACAATGGAGGCAATTGGCTTCGGCCCCCACTGGCTACAATGGCTACGCTCTATATACTCTAGGCCGCGTGCACGCATTAGAGTAAATGGCCATCTATCCGACCCATTCCCAATCACCAATGGCACGAGACAGGGGTGCCCGCTGTCACCACTCCTTTTTGTACTCATCATGGAACCCTTCCTTCAAGGGATTAGAGACAATCCGGCCATTCACGGTTTTAAGGTGCAAAATCATGAATACAAGATAGCAGCTTTTGCTGATGACCTGCTGTTCACGGTTACACAACCGCTGAATTCTATGCCACAAATCCTACAGGAAATCACCTCCTACCATAGGGTCTCCAACTTCAAAGTCAATTATACGAAAAGCGAAATCCTCCCCCTAGTCCTCGCCAACTCCACCAAATCCACCCTTGGAAACTCCCTCCCGTTCCTCTGGGCGCCCAGGGATGTCAAATACCTGGGAGTACACCTACCAACCCATCTCACAGATTTATACGACCTAAACTTCCCACCACTGCTACAGACTATTTCTCGGGACCTGACCAAGTGGCACAAACCACACTTCGGGTGGCTTTGCCGCATTAATATTATCAAAATGAATGTCCTCCCCAAACTTTTATATCTTCTCCAAACCCTCCCCATTGCACTACCGACATCCTTTTTCAACGACATTAAGAAGACCTTCACCCGCTTTATATGGTCGCATTCTCCCCCTAGGCTCACATACAACACTCTTACAAGCCACAAACTCCACGGGGGCCTAGGCCTCCCAGACGTAGAACTATACTACAAGGCTACTATGTTACACAGAGTATACGAATGGACCATCCCCAACAACCCCAAACATTGGGTGATCCTTGAAAAATCTGCCTTTCAACATCCCCTCCTCACTATCCCGTGGCAAAGAACAGGGACAATCTCCCTCTTGCAAGCTCACACAAAACACCCCACAATCATACCCACCCTTAAAGTGTGGTCACAAATAAGAAATAAACTAGGCATATCCCCCCACCCATCTCCCCTCTATCCACTGACTTACAACCCGGACTTCACGCCGGGCCTCTCCCCTTCCTCCTTTGCTGCGTTCCCACACACCCACTACCTGCAATTACGCACCCTACTTGACGACCAAGGAATTAGACCCCCTAACGCGTTCTGGGAAGATACGCAACCTACGACCCTACAAAAATTCCGCCACTCTCAACTCGCCCACTTCCTATCAACCACCCCCAATATCCTCCAGGGACACCGGCAACTCACCTCATTTGAACAACACTGTGTCTCCAGCGATATCAAAACGAAGCACCTCTCATCCCTATACAAACTGATGCAAACGGAAATATCGCCCGTCCTGCCCAAATACACAAAAGCCTGGGAATCCGATCTCAATCTTTCCCTAACACAATCAGACTGGAAACACGTGTTTTCCAATATACACAAAACAAGCATGAGCACGCACACACAGGAAGGGAACTTTAAACTACTATCCAGGTGGCACCTTACTCCTTCCAAAATACACGCAATCTTCCCGAATGCTTCCGCGCAGTGCTGGAGATGCCAACACCCCCAGGGAACCCCAAGCCACATATGGTGGACGTGTCCAGTCATCCGCACTTACTGGTCCAAAATCATTAAGATGATTCACACCATCACCAACGTACAACTACCCCAATCCCCAGAAATTGTACTCTTCCTCCTCCTCCCTCCATCAGTTCCCAAGAACACAAAACCCCTAACCAGCCACCTTCTCACAGCGGCAAACGCCCTCATCCCCAGCCACTGGAAAAAATCAGAAGCGCCCACCATCCGGACATGGATCAATAAGGTTGACTCCATACGCCTTTTAGAAGAAATACACTACTCGAGGTCACACTCATACAACACCTATGAACGCACCTGGAGCCCGTGGCTACACTTCCTAAAAACTGATGAGACCTCCAGAACACCAACTCCCAACTAACTTACTTAAAAAGCCTACACCCTCCCCACCCCCCCCTTCCACTCCCTTTATAGTTTGACAACTCTGGCTGGACACAATTTAGTGGGACTTAGTGGTTTCACAAAAGTATAAATTAGGAGGTTGAATCACATTTACTATGGCAAATCAACCAGCAACACCTGGTCTGTGAACCCACAGCACCCAGACTGGAACCTATACTTACCGACCCCACCACAACCGGTACGACCCCGACACAATCAAAACTAACTCAATTTATTTATCTCCTTCTTTCACGCCTCTAAGATCTCTATAACCTACCTGACACAAATAAGTTAGACAAGACCAGCCAGAGTGAAGTTAATGCACAATGTTAAATGTTTGAAAATTCACTGATGAATATTGTTTAATGCTCAGAACTAACCCATAAGTGCATAATGGAATGTGGACATCATACCTTGCGACCCGGAAGAATTCTTCCAACGACATTTCTCACACTACCTTGGCTCCACAACATGACACCATGTTCTGCTCATTATGTTATTTACTCTATGTTAACTCAATGTACAACTCTGTTTGTATGAAAAATTTTGATAATAAAGACTTTGAAATGGAAAAAAGAATTTGGCGATGACAGGCGGAACGATTTCTCATTACTACAAAAGACTCGCTGATCGAACGTTCACATGGGTCCCAGATTTATAGTTTCTGTTCTCTGTTTACAGGCTTGCTGTTGCTTCACTGTGATGATTTTGCCTGCAGAATGGTTTGTTGCCCAACAAATAGTCTGGGTACTGTGCGTGCCCAACAGTGACAGGTCGCTTTTTAAATTTATTTATTTTTATTTACCCCTGCTAGTGTTTCTATCCTTTGACATTGCCTTAAAATAAAAACAAGCATGCCTTGTGCCTTTTTAAAGATGTTCAGTCCAGAGCAGAGAGAACCTTAATGCTTGCCTATCATTCCAAGGGCACGGTCATATTGATACTTAAATATATTTTCACACCTCGCTGTAAATAAACTAAAATACTAAGCTACTTTCGTTTGACGGGTTTGTTTTTCTCTTATGTTGCCAAAAGTGCCCCAATAATCAGTTCTGCCTAAAAAACAGAAAAAAATGTCCTTTCCACCACTGAATTAGACTTTTTTGCTTTTCTTTCAATTTTTGTGATGACCTTGTGTGACCGCTATATAAAGTGTATGTTAATCCTGATCTCCAACTCCCAGTACTCTTGACTGAACAGGGTGAATTTATAGTAATTGCTGCCAAATTTATAAACAAACCCCAAAAAAAAAAAAAAATATATATATATATATATTATATAATTTTATTTATTTATTTATTTTTTTTTTTACCTATACGTCAACCCACACCCTTGTTTTATAGTTTAAAGGAAATGGGTCATAGCTTGAATCCAGATTTTTATTTTTATATTTTTTTTGACTCTGTGTACATTTACCATTGCAGTTGCATTGAACTTTAATCTGCTAATAATGTCCCCTACATCAGTAGGTGTTTATGCTGCTGTCTGTTGTGGTTGTGACGGTCGCACCGAGCTGGAATCTTTTACAGTCTGCTTTGCGGAACATTTGGAAATTCTGCAAAAAACAAACTGGGGATTAGCAGTTAATTAAAAATAACTTGTTCTAAAAATGTGCTGGATAGCAAGGGCAATGTGTTTCAACGTTCTTCAACATTTGATACTTCCTTTTGCATGACAGAGGTCCTTTAAACATGGTCATTGAGTGAGCTCACCTTTCACATTGCATCCCAGTTGTTCCTACAGAGTCTCTTAAATAAAATACTGTTTTTTACATTTTTATTTCTGGAGTAAGCTCTGCATTGTCATAAAATAAATAGTGAATATCCAGGTTGAGAACAATTGGACTTATTGGCACGACACCCATATCATAAAAATATTTCTCTAAATGCAGTCATCTACAACAATAGGGGATAATCCAATTTCATGTTATGGGAAAACTTCAAAAAAAAAAAAATAAAAAAAAAATTCAACTCCTGATCTATACTGAGGAATACATTTTTATTTTAATTTTCTTTGCAAAACAATCAACATCCATTTCTTTGCTGAGCTGTAAACACGGTGTGCTTGTGAGATGGTGGATATGTGGCCATATTAAAGGGAATGTCTGATCAAAGATTACCTTTGTTAATGGTCTAGTGAACATGGGCGTCCGCAGGAATTTTTCTGGGGGGAGGGGCAGCATTATTGTAATGACCTCCATGCTTGGCTCCTTCTTGACAGTGTCATAAAGGGGAGGAGCATATTTATTATCACATAAAGCCAGGGTGAATAGAGTTTTCATACTATGGTGTCAGGAACTGAGTGGGGATCCACCGAAGGGCAGGCTAATTGAGCTGTTGTCCACCCTCCGCACTCTCTGGCGACTTGTTTTTTTGCCCTGTCAGGAATACATGTGTGTATTCCTGACACTATAGTGTTCCTTTAAGCAATTAAAAGGAACATTCTGGTCACCATAACAACTTCATCTAAATGAAAATGCTGTGATGCCAGGCTGCCTGGGTGCTCTTTCCTTTAAGAGGTTAAAACACTCATATGGTTTAACCCCAAAGGCTTCCTCCAGGTCGCTCAGTGGTATTCGGCTTCTGAAACGGAGTGTCAGGAATTGCAGATTGACGTCAGGCTAGAGTGGTCAGTTGACGCTCTAAGCCAATCGCTAGTTCCCGGTTCATAATGTTTTTTACTTTTTTATGAAAGTGCCCCCCTCCCCCCCCCCTGCGGACGCCCATGCTGACTTTTTTCAGAGTAGTTTGCACAAATTCACTGATACCTGTAATTGGTGAAGTTTCAGCTCTGATGGCAATGAGCTAGCAGATCCCAAAAGATACACAAATATGGCACTTACAGAGTTCCCTAGAGTTGAGAATTTCCAACGTTAAGCCAGTGTAACGGAATTGGAAACATTCTCAAATTCCACCATGTTTTCGGTTTGGCTATTTTAGTGTAAACTTTGAGTTCCTGATTGATCACACTGTAGTAAATAATACTTTTATTTCTTCTAGTTCGTGTATGGTAGGCTCTTTTGTGTTGGCATTAATTTTCCTTTGCATGCATAGTACTACATTCATCATACTTTTCACAGATAATACTATATAGTGGCAGAGGTGTAAAAGCAAGGATGTGTACATTTGTGTAGAGTATACAAGAGTAAGGACTTGTCTGTAGATCAAAATACAATGCCGTTTTCGTGGAGACTCAGATATGAGAACCAGCATTTCTGCATTTGAGGGATCATAGTTTTGTGAGGAGAAAACTGCACTACTCATATCTCTTAATAGGAAGGGAGTGGAGCGTTTGGCAAAAGAAAATTCTGAACAGGTGATGAGGAAGAGCGGAAAGTGGCAATGTAAGAACCAACCAGAAACTCTTTACTTTTTGGATTCCGTGTTTGTTCCGCTTCCCATGTATTGTACAGTTTAGTAGGAACCTTGTTCCAAGTACTTTAAATGTATTCTAACCTGTAACACACCGTGTATAACGCCTATCCTTGGCATTTACCAAGATTTATTTTATCACTGTAGACTAGCATTTCGTAGAATGTAGCTAGATTAGGGCGAGAACATTTGCCGGGATTGGCGGTGAATATAGTGACTTCTGTAAACTTCCTTTAGCCATTGTTTAGCACTGCTATGTTACTATAACTGTTTAGTAGTAAACTAGTAATGTCATAATACTGGTACAGTATTCCAACAAACACATACACAAGGTACAGTAAGGAAGTGAACATTTTTATTAAAGCAACGGTGTTTGTTTTTCTCTAGGTATTGGATAATTGTGGTTTATTGGGATAGTCGCTGTAATAATTTTAGATACGTAATGATGGTTCTAGTATAGCCGGACACATTCTGGATAAAGTGCTAGCTATTCCAGATTGAAATTTGAAGGGGACTTTATTCAGGCACAGTCTGCCTATTTTCTGTTTTGTACAATAATCTCCCGCCCAAAACCAGGACTTCATTCTGAAAATGACAATAAACCTGAAAGAAGTTGGTCTGTGAATTACCTTCTGGATGATGATGATGATTAGTGTCTGTTGTGAATGATTGTAGATCTTGTATTTATGTTCTCTTTATGCCAATGCATGTTGAAATTCAATGGCTGTTGGAGGAGCACTGTGAGTTTATCTTATGAATTCAATGTGTTGGGGAGTGAGGGGGGAACAAAAGGATTGTACTCCTCAATAGGTTTTATAGCGAATAGCTTAGATCATTATTATTTTCATTCTGTAGATGATGCCTTTATCAATCCCCAGCTGCAAAAGATCTTCGAGAGGGTGCGTCAGAGTGCAGACTTCATGCCCATTAAGCAAATGATGGTGAGTTCTAGCTTTTCATTGTTTGAAAGGCAAATGTATGGTTTTATTTAATGAACCAGGAATTGCAATTCTTTGACAAGGCAATGCTATTTTGTATGGGTTTTTAATGTTCCCTCTTCCATACTCTCCTTCCACCATCCGAAACAAAAAATTACCCATAACCGTTATGTGAAGGCAACATTCCATTGGTTAAGCGAAGTGTCTGTCTGTACATTATTGTTTTTCTACATATCATATGTCTATATCTCATTAATTAGTATGATGGTTAATGTCTTGTAGAAAACATTAAACGCAGATCTGGGCCCAAACTGGCGAGACCAGCTCGACTTCTTTGAAGAGCGTCCCTTTGCTGCTGCATCCATTGGACAGGTCCATCTCGCCAGACTCAAAGATGGAAGAGAGGTTGCCATGAAAATTCAGGTAGGTGTGACTTTCCTGGAGCTACTGTGTTGATTATATACAATGCAAGCAATGGGATAGTGCTAGGTTGATATGCTTCTCCGAACATATTGGAAAGGGGACATGTTTTGGTGTTTTTCAAAGGTGTTAAGGAATATCCAAGACTTAACTGATGACATGCTATGCCATCTCTAGAGTGTTTTCTATACAGTAATGTCCTTATTGTATAATAGTGTCAACAGCTGTAACTATTCTGTTGTCATTACATTAGGACATTGTGTCACTGGTTCTGTAAGGTCAAGATTGTTATAGCATGTAAACGAATAGTGGGCTGGAGCCTATTAAATGTGTAATGCAGTGGGGGTGGGGCCTGATAGCCAAGATGGCCGGACCTGATTTGTTTGAAAGCTCCCGCAGACAAAATCCCACTAATCCTGTCCAAACAGAAGCCAGAAACTTAAGGAGCTTGGAAGGTGAGATAGGACCTAGCAGGGAACAGAATGATACCTGTCCCGCGCCGATCCGCACTACAAAAGCCTGAACCGGCCATGCGCCCTAAAACGGCGGGAGTTATCCAGGTCCTCGCTGGGGACAATCACCCCCAATCAAGCGACAAAGCCCACAGACAGGCAGAAATGACAGGGCCTAACCAAGATGGCGGCTGGGATGCGGCCCGCAATGGGGAGAACCCACATTAAGCCACCAACACCTACTCTAGAGTTCTTTGACTGGCTTGGCGCTAGCCTCTGGACAGAACTCCATACCAAAGGCCGGATCTTTAAGCTAGCGTTGAAACAAGCAGCGTCATGGATTCGCCCTACAATCCGACGCCAACTATGCAGACACCCGCCCACAGCTCCCATTGCGGTCTCCCGACGGAGGAGAAACAGAACACGCTCGAGCACACACCAGTGGGGGACCACCCACCTCACCGGACCCACTCACCACCCTACGGCGTCTGAAACCACCGACCATCAGGCGGAACTCGCCACCTCCCAGGCTCACACTTGGGAAGGTGGGAGCAATCGAAGCGGCGAACACCCCACATGGGCTTTGGAAAGGACTCGACGAGAGAGAACAGAAAGTCACTGCCCACCACGTTAACCGGGAGGCTGCCGAAACTCACCTCTCAAATGACATACCGAGAATCAGCAGGGGAACTGGGACTGTACCCACAATGGGCTCACGCCCCTGGCCCGAGCAGCACCCACACAACTCCAACGGCCCCACAAGGCGGGCATCTGCTGATTACAGACCACCCTGGTGACTAAGACCTACGTACCCCATATGAGTAAGGGGGAAGGTTTCCTGTGCTGCGACACAAACTCCCAATCTGCTGATTTTTACAGACCTGCCATCTCCTGCTTCACACCTCACAGGGACGACGGTCCCCATCACCTGCACGGTTGTTGTGCATAACCCTGGTCTGCCAAGGACTCTTTCTCATGCAGATAAGCAAAGCTACCAGGGATTCTTATGTTAAATTTGTTACAATATGTTTAAGTTGTTTAAACCCTGGTTACTTTATCACCTTACCTAACAAGCGTTGACTTTGGTGAAAGCTTGAAAGTTAGTCATGGTCAATATTAAGTTTAATATTTCAGCTAAGATAACGAACAGAAATGAATAGCTAAGTATACGCCTCAATAGTCTTAACCTTGTCTAGCAAATCTGTCTCCGTGCTATTGCACACTAAGCGAGGTCTCTATCATTACCTGTAATATGCCTGTCTCTACAGCATGAGCCCAGTTTGCTAGCATACACACTAAAATCGTATCTCTTACATGGAAATAATCTATCCAGTTCTAGCATGTTATTAATTACCACAGTTAACGCATGAACCAAACATGTTTGCATAACTAATATATTTATACCTACATGTAAATCGATACTTTAATGCTATGTTTCTTAAGCCTGATAAAATAAAAAATTGTGCCAGTTAAGAATACACCCCGCATGCTCAAAAAGCCTGAGGATTGCCTTCGGGGTACCTCAAGCCTGCCTGTAATATATGCGTGCACTACAAAAATAATAATAAAAAAGTGTAATGCAGTACAGTAGAACATGGAAATCATGGTTTGATGCTGTATATAGAAACTTCTAACAGCTGCATCCCAGGCCTCCTTTATGTGCCCTTTGATATAGAGCTCTGCAAAGGGCAGTTCACAAAACACAGAACGTAATGTGCCACCATGTTCTAAGATGCACTCTGTACAATACCCTTTATCACAGAGTAGTCGTGCGTATATTTATAGCGTTTGCGGGCGGGGGGTTGTTGGTAAGGGGGATTTTATATTGTTAGTGTCGTAATGTTTGTTTTTCCTCCTCCTCTCTTTGTACAGTATCCTGGGGTGGCTCAGAGCATCCATAGTGATGTGACTAACCTTATGACTGTTCTGAATATGAGCAACGCTCTTCCCGAAGGTACTGATTTTCTCCTAGTTTCACTTTGGATCTAAATCTCTAGTACAGATACTGTGGTTGTTAAGGATACAGAGTAACTTTGCTAATTAGCTTTGTATGTGTGCGCACCATGTCTCTATAACTTCCTTTCTTTGTCCCAGGCCTTTTTCCTGAGCACCTGATTGACGTTCTGAGCAGAGAGCTGGCCCTGGAGTGCAATTATAAAAGGGAAGCAGCTTGTGCTAAAAAATTTAAGTATGTTAATGTTTTTTTTGTTTTGTTTTTTTTTAAGTGCAAAATGTCATCAGGGAAAGTTCTTCTAGTTTCAGGCATGTGAACACTTTAACCCATTAATAAAGGGGTTAAAAGGAAACAAAGTATAATATGAGACAAATTAGCACCATTGTGTGTGTTATTCAGGGATACATAAAATTGTAAGAAGTGTGTAAACATTGTGGGATGAACAGTTTGTGGTTATTTAGTATCCTTTGCTGTACAATATAAAATTCTGAATTTGAAATGTTGGCATTAAAGGAAACCTGTTTTTGGCCTCATCATAATAATATGATTTATCTTTATTAGTTTAAAATGGTGACGTACCATGTTTATATGTACTTGTGACGAACTGATTATCATTGTGGTGGCGTTTGTGGGCAGCTTCCCATAAATATAATTCTGCACACATACATTTTCACAAACTAAAAACCATTGGAATGCCATGAATGTGTGCCATAAAGCAGTAACTGGAAGATAAACCTGAGTGTCCTGCTCGCACTTTGTTCCATCAGAGAGTTGCTGAAGGACCATCCGTTCTTCTACGTCCCCAGCGTGGTTGATGAGCTGTGCAGTGACCATGTCTTGACCACTGAATTGGTTTCTGGTTTCCCCCTTGACCAAGCAGAGGGCCTGAGCCAAGAAATCCGCAATGAGGTAATTCTTAATTCTCCCTCTAAAAAAACAACCAAGTCTTTTAGGATCGATCGTTATACTGCATTGTAAAAGTGACAAATCAATATCCTTTTTCAGTATTATATTCCATGCAGCTTTTCAATGAGAAATGCTAGTTCAGTACCTCCCAACGGAGTTCATTACGGTTTGAACTTCCTATCATTTACTAAATCAAAGCCTGCATCGGTACTCCACACAGGAGACCCAGCTGGATTGCATTCTGAGTTAAGCTTCTTCCAACCACTCGTATGATTGTCCGCTATTCTGCAGAGTTTCCTTTTCTTTCTGTCATCCGGTTCCCGGCTGAACCGGCCGTGAAGGCAATCCGCACATATATCCTGTCCCAGGCAGTTAGGTGATGATTACAAATTAAGATTCAGTTGGTGAGCCTTGACTGGTCATTGTAAGACCGGTTTGCTGTGTCTGTTCTTTTTAAAAGCTTTGACAAAGTCCGTTGAATACATGGGTTGCACACAACTTTATCTTTTCTGTAACATTCCCTCTGTCATCTGTCCTTTAACTTCAGATCACCCCTCCCGTCCTTGCAGGTGTATAAAAATGCTAATTTCAGGTGTATCTACTTCAGGAATGTTGACACCTGGTTTGATATGCCTGTCCCAGATTGTCCAGGTTTGAGACAAAATGGGGCTTTCTGTTGCAACAAGAAACACTGTTAAAAGCAGGAAGGTATTGGTATTGGCGTACATAATGAATAGTCCGTGATCTCACTATCTGAAATATTAAGTTACTGAATCTTGGGGATTACCTGTAAAACACATTAAATGTATATTTTACGATTATAAATTTTGCCTTTTATTGCTCCATCAAGAGGCCGAAGTAACATAGAAACATAGAATGTGACGGCAGATAAGAACCATTCGGCCCATCTAGTCTGCCCAATTTTCTAAATACTTTCTTTAGTCCCTAGCCTTATCTTATAGTTAGGATAGCCTTATGCCTATCCCACGCATGCTTAAACTCCTTTACTGTGTTAACCTCTACCACTTCAGCTGGAAGGCTATTCCATGCATCCACTACCCTCTCAGTAAAGTAATACTTCCTGATATTATTTTTTTAAACCTTTGTCCCTCTAATTTAAGACTATGTCCTCTTGTTGTGGTAGTTTTTCTTCTTTTAAATAGTCTCCTCCTTTACTGTGTTGATTCCCTTTATATATTTAAATGTTTCTATCATATCCCCCCTGTCTCGTCTTTCCTCCAAGCTATACATGTTAAGATCTTTTAACCTTTCCTGGTAAGTTTTATCCTGCAATCCATGAACCAGTTTAGTAGCCCTTCTCTGAACCCTCTCTAATAGGGATCGACCGATATTGATTTTTTAGAGCCGATACCGATACCGATATTCTGTGAACTTTCAGGCCGATAGCCGATATAATTTGCCGATATTCTGTACATTTACCATTTTGGAAAATAAAAACTATTTCTAAAGGTAAATGCACAAAATATACATGCAACGTGCAGTGGATGCAGTGTGACAGGGGAGCTGTGTGTGTTTGTGTAGTGTGTGTAGTGGATGCAGTGTGTGTTTGTGTAGTGTGTGTGTTGTGGATGCAGTGTGTGGAGGATGCAATGTGTGTTTGTGTAGGGGATGCAGTATGTATTTGTCTAGTGTGTGTGTAGTGGATGCAGTGTGTATTAGTGTAGTGTGTATATAATGAAAGCAGAGTGTGTGGGTAGTGTGCGTAAAGTGAATGCTGTATATACTAAATTCAAAGTGTGTGTGTATATAATGAATGCAGAGTGTGTGTGTGTATTTGTGTAGTGTGTGTATAGTGAATGTAGTGTGTTTATATAATGCAGAGTGTGTGTATATAATGCAGTGTGTTTGTGTAGTGTGCATTATATAAACACACTACACAAACACTGCATTATATAAACACTACACAAACACTGCATTATATAAACACTACACAAACACACACACTGCATTATATACACACTACACAAACACACACTGCACAAACACACTACACAAACACACACTGCATTATATAAACACACTACACAAACTGCATTATATAAACACACTACACAAACACACACTGCATTATACACACACTATACAAACACACACACTGCATTATATGCACACACACACTATACAAACACACTGAATTATATACACACACTATACAAACACACACTGCATTATATAAACACACTACACAAACACAGACTGCATTATACACACACACACTATACAAACACACACACTGCATTATATACACACACACACACTATACAAACACACTGAATTATATACACACTATACAAACACACACTGCATTATATAAACACACTACACAAACACTGCATTATATACACAGTGTGTTTGTATAGTGTGTGTATATAATGCAGTGTATTTGTGTGCATTGTATACAAACACACACACACACACTATACAAACACACACTGTATTATATACACAGTGTGTTTGTGTAGTGTATGTGTATATAATGCAGTGTGTGAGGGGGCATTTTTTATTAAATTATTTAAAAAAAAATGTATAATTAATTCTTATTTATTTTTGTTGTCCCCCCTCCCTGCTTGTTACCTGGCCAGGGAGGGGGCATATGACAGTCCCTGGTGGTCCAGTGGTATTGGCTGAGCTGGGGGGGCGGAGAGCAAGCGCTTACTCACCTCCCAGCAGCTCCTCCAGCTCCCCAATGTAACTCTCGCGGCCAGCGTGTCGCGCGGAGCGTTGCCATGGTGATCCATGGCAACGCTCGGAAGGCCGCGGGTCTCGCGAGAGTTGCATTGGGGAGCTGAAGGAGCTGCTGGGAGGTGAGTAAGCGCTTGCTCTCCGCCCCCCCAGGACCGCCGGGTTTGTAATGAGCCCGGCGGTCCTAGGAGGTATTATCGGCAATATCGGTATCTGAATTGGCCGATACCGATATTGCCGAGAATACCGAATATCGGCCGATTATATCGGTAAAACCGATAATCGGTCGATCCCTACTCTCTAAGGTATCAATATCCTTCTGAAGATACGGTCTCCAGTACTGTGTACAATACTCCAAGTGAGGTCTCACCAGTGTTCTGTATAATGGCATGAGCACTTCCCTCTTTCTACTGCTAATACCTCTCCCTATACAACCAAGCATTCTGCTAGCATTTCCTGCTGCTCTATTACATTGTCTGCCTACCTTTAAGTCATCAGAAATAATAAGTATGTCTTGTGCTACAGAATGACTGAGTGCACCCAAGAGTTGTACTGCCAGCTCTTCCCGTGTACATATATGTATGCAAGACAACTGTAAGGTCTAGAAGCCCTCCCCTACAAGGAGGTTTATTTTATCATTCAGCCCTGGAGAGTATTCTATGGCTTGAAGTGGTGAGTACTTTTTAGGACCTGGGTAGTAGCAATGTATATCTATAAGAGTAGAGGTGGCCAAAAGATGGATCACCAGCTGTTTTAGAATTACTACTCCTATGACCTTTTGCCAGCCTTAATCTTGGGGATCTTCCCTTTGAAATAACTGCAGATATTTTTTCATTACTGTTCAGTTATTTGTTTTACGCACCTTAATTGATTGGTATTGGCTGTAATACATGGCAGTGACCAGGTTAATATTTTGGGTGTAACAGGTAGGGCCCGCCCCTTCTTTTTATTTATTCTTCTTTTGACCTGGCAACTTTCGCTCCCCCTATGGGTGCAATGTTTGTATGACCTTGAATAGCCCTTGCTTGATTCGTGTTGGGAACGTGACAGTTGTGTGATAGATCTAAGTTACAGCTAGGCTCCTGGATCTTTGCCACGCACTGCCTCCCATTTGTGTAACCGATCCAAAATAGCCCTCTTACTATGTGGCATAAGGGTCTTGGAAAATTACAGCCGGTAAACAAAAAGAGAGTCGGTGAGGGCCAATTTATATTTATATATAAATTTATTTTTAGGCATATTTGGTTCTTTGCTTTACAAAAAGAGATGGATTTATAGTGAACAATTATTGATACAGATATGTGTAATGTACAGGTTTGTTATTTTTATTTTATTTATATAGTGCCAGCAAATTCCATAGCGCTGTACAATGGGTATGTACATTAATTTAAATGTGAATGTATTAATTAGCACAGTATTAACTCACTATGTGCTCACAACTCAGGAATTCAGTTATTTATTCGATATAGATTCACTGAATACCCTAAAAATCACCCTACAAGTATTTTTAAAAGTACAGTATGCAGAAGAATAACTGTTGCTGCTTGGATTGACCAGTCAATTACCCTTTTTGAAGGATTAGAACATAGTCTGCTTTGTCACTTTGAAGGCCTGGGTGCAGTTTGGTACATGTAGTGGCAAGGTATAATTTGTATTTATGAACTATAAAGCCGTGTTTTTATTTTTTATTTTTTTTTTCTTCCACTTATTTATTTAGTAAATCTTTGTTTTTTCTGAGCATTACCCTCTTGTGAAATTACTTACCATAACTGGGGTGAGTACATAATCTTCAACCCATGCCATTTGGAGGGTTTAAACCTGGCACTTTAAAGGGACACTCCAGGCACCCAGACCCCTTCTGCCCATTGGAGTGGTCTGGGTGCCAACTCCCACTACCCTTAACTCTGCAACTGTAATTTTTGCAATTTTCATAAACTGCAATAATTACCTTGCAGGGTTAACCCCTCCTCTAGTGGTTGTCTACTAGACAGCCACTAAGGGCACTTCATGGTCTATAGCACAGGTTTTCTGTGCTATAGCGTCGCTGTATGTCCTCACGTGGTGTGAGGACCTCCAGGTTTGCTAAAATCCCCATAGGAAAGCATTGAAAAGCTTTTTTTTTTTTTTTTTATGCTTTCCTATGGAGAGGTCTAATGCGCGTGCACGGCACTCCCCCACCGGTGGGTGGGATGAGTTTTCCCTGGTGACTGGGAGGAGCGTGAGCGGAGGAAGAAGCAGTGACGAGGGACATCGTCGCTGCCTCTGGTAAGTCACTGAAGGGGTTTTCACCCCTTCAGCAACCGTGATGAGAGGGGACCTGCAGTGCCAGGAAAATGGATTGTTTTCCTGGCACTGGATAGTCCCTTTAAGGTTTGGAATAAGTTAATTGAGCTGTAGTGTGGGCCAGGATTTAATACCAGGTTTATTTATAGTAACTTGTGTCTCTGGGGTAATTGGGTCAGAGGCCAGCCATATCTTCTCTTTATGTAGTTGCTGTCATGGCTGTAAACTTGCAGGTATTTTCAAAGAACCGCATGAATATGTATACGTATTGCAACAGCACCAAACAGTGGGTTTTGCATCCAATCCATGAAACCAGTCGAACAGCAGATAACTAATTTATAAAGCTTTTTTTAAGTTTGGACCACACAGTACTCCTCCTCACAGCACTAGAAAATTGTTGCAAAACCAAAATATTCTCAAATCCCTGCAACAATTTAGAATTCCCCCCCCCCATTTCACACAACATGCATGTGGTGGTTTAATCCTGCACCATGGTGAATGCACACCAGGTAACTGGTATGAGGCATGCTTCCAATTCCAACAGGGTGCTTGAGATGCACGGCCAGTTCACAGGTTGAATGCATGCACGGGTTACGATACCTTCCTTTGTGATTATGGACCGCTACCACATATGACGGGTGTGACTGCAGGAGCCTGGCACCAATATTCAAACCATTTGTGGGTCACTTGGATATTTTAACTCTGTAAAGCTGATATTCTGTGACTGTGATTTTTCCTTCTGTTAAGGTGTGCAATGACTTTTGTCCATTCTGGTGCATTTGAGGTAGGAAAACCTTTTCCTCTCATTTAATGTGTCTGATTTTGTAGGTTTTAGACTCTCGCTAGTTCCTTTGCAATAAAGTCAAATCCAGCAAAATCCAATAATTGCAAGAAAATGTGTTGGGTGGAGCAGAGAATTGATTGTAGTCTGTGCAACACCAGACTAAATCTGAAAATGTTGTCTCTTTTCGAGGAGATATATCATATCATCATAATCTGCTTTAACACGACAGCAGTATACCTGGTGACTAGACAATCTGAATTATCTGGATGCTTTCTTAATTACTTGGAACTTTTATTTAGTCTGTTTCCCAGTTGTGGCTCCATTTTTTTTTTTTTTTTTTTGAGGTCATAATGATTATTAAATTTTGGTCTCGAAGGGCATGGATGACCTATTTCATAGAGTTGTCAAGAGAAAGATATTGCTCTCTACCATAACTGCAATCTTGAAACAGACCCTGTTGACTCGTGTTTTATTCAAAGTTTGTCTTATTACTTTGCTTCTGAACAGAGCATCATAGAGGCCAGAAGCCTAGGTTTAAATGAGCATGTAGACTTTTTTTTGTTCTAGATAAGAACCTGGAGCTTTGATGTCATGTGGATCAGCAGACGTCTGTTTTTCCTAGTTTAGTGCAGAAATAAATCCTCCTCTGCGGTTAGAACCCACCCCACGAGGTCTCTTTCTACCGTCTGAACCTCTCCAGCTTCAGCCCTGGCAAATTGGATTTCTAGTGCTTGGACATATCTTCACCGAGCATTACCAATTAGACATCCAAACCACAGGATTTGAACGGTTAGGAACAGTGGTAAAATGACCAGAGCCAACCATGATTTCTAGTACTGTGGGAGCAGTAATGGGTAATCTGAATGTAAAATGTTTCACTTTTAGTTATGTGTTGCCTGTCTTATTAATTGTTGCTTTTTTTTCCCAAATGAGAATCCCCCTCTTACGACTGTAAATTTGCTTTCATTTTATGTCTGGTAAATAGAAGGAATCCTACATAAAGCATTCACTGTTAGAATTTGGCACTTCTCGTAGTAACCCCTCTAACCCATACTGCTGCCTGCAACGCAGCGCATTACTTCGTCCTCGGGAGCCCAGGCGGTTAAATGGGGAATTCTCTATTTTAAGACAATCTTCCAGACTCTCGTCCTTACAAAAAAAGTAAACAAAGTGCTAAAATGGAGTCTCCGTACTACGTAATTTGTAATGACTAAATGTTGTCAGGAAATCGAAAATATAAACTCTGTGGGGAGGATAATTTTGTGACATTTCAAAGCGCAAATGTAATTTGCAATATCTCAAGGTTTTCATAAAGATGCTTGGAAATGTCACTGTAGGCAGTATAATCATTTCATCTTATTGAATTGTTAATAGTGCCTGGAGTCCTCTTGTGCTGTCCCTCCAGTCAATGTTAAACCATTTTCAAGCAGTTTAATGTTAAATAAGGGTCCGTGGCTGTCCACAGCATGGGCCCCCACTGGAGGTGTGGCTAAGGTAGAGATGACACACTTCCTTCTAGCCATTTTAATTCATACCAGCAATAAGCACTATGATAGGCTGCAGTCAGTTGACACTCTGCCAATCACAGACACTCATTGCTGTTCAGACTAATTCTTCCTAATGAGCCCAAACAGCACGGAGGGCTAATTTAGCATTATAAACCTTTTTAATGCTGAATGGTGTCAGGAGATGAGTTACAAGGCCTACAGTGTCTCATTTAAGCATAATATTAAACAAACAAACCCTGCACTAAACCAAAATAAATTATATGATAAACAAACCAATGCTTCTAAATCCCACTAATTGGCACTGATAATGTTTCACTGAGCCCTTGTTTTAACCTCTGAATATTGAAAAGGAGTTGCTTTTTAGGACTGGAACAGATTCCAAAGCTTGCAGATGTTGCTGCTATTATTTATTGTCATGGTATTTGTGTATTCCTGGAATATGACTTACTATCTCCTATTGACCTAACTGCGCAATAAAGGGAACTGCTCCATTTGAGTTACATTTGCCTAGTTAATAGCCTGTTTTAGTTTAAAATATTTGTTTTGTTGTTTTTTTTTTTTTTCAGATCTGCTCCAATATTCTACTCCTGTGTCTGCGAGAGCTGTTTGAGTTCAGATTCATGCAGACTGACCCAAACTGGTCCAACTTCTTTTATGACCCACAACTTCATAAGGTAACTTAGTCGTTGTGTAAATTCATGGCTTTGTCTGTCATTTAAATACACAATATGAGAAAGCTGCATAGGTCAATCATTACCTGCACTGTTTGTCAAGCCCAGATCTTTGGTCACTCTCTATCATTTGATCTTCATTTATGCAATACATATATTTTATTAGCTAAATATTATTGAAGTGGCTTCTGTGCAAGTGTATTTAATTGTCCGAAGCAGGTCCGTTAACAGATTATTTTTTTTTTTTTAATTCATGTCTCACTAGGTTGCTTTGTTGGACTTTGGAGCAACAAGAGGCTTTGATGAGCATTTCACGGACATGTACATTGAGGTGAGATGTTTTTCTCATATATCAGACACCACGTGCTTTTGTTAATGGCCAGGAGTGCCCTTTTAATGTTCCTTTGCTTCCTATATTTAAACACGGTGCCTTGTCTGTTGTTGGTCACCTTTAAATACCCAGAATGAATAAATTCCTAGCCCAGGAAATCTCAGCTGTGTTCCTCTAGATCACCCTTTCTACAAACATGTTTGTCTAACTTATTGTTTCCTTCTTGATTGTTCTTCTATGCTTCTGTTTTATAGGTAATCAGGGCTGCTGCTGACAGAGACCGGGAGAAGCTATTAAGAAAGTCTATTGAAATGAATTTCCTGACTGGTTATGAATCCAAGGTAGGGGTCTCTTTAAAGGATGTGGCTGTTAGAAACGGATTCAGTCTTTGTGATATCCATTCCAAATGTGAACTTTTCCATTCCCATAAACATTTAAATATTGATTACAGCGCTGTCTGTGTGGAGACAGATATAGATATCCACACAGACAGCGCTGTAATCAATATTTAAATGTTTATGGGAATGGAAAAGTTCACATTTGGAATGGATATCACAAAGACTGAATCCATTTCTATATTATTATACAGATTCCCACAATCATTCAGTTCATTCTTTGCTGGTGAAAATAAATATTTAGCCGGTTTATATTCCATTTAACAAAGTATAAAGTGCGTGTTTTTGTTGGTGCTATACACGAGCTGACTGCAACTGTTTTTAAATGTTTTTTTTGTTTTTGCACGGCAGACAATGGAAAATGCACACTTGGAAGCGGTTTTGATTCTGGGTGAAGCCTTTGCTTCAGATACTCCATTCAATTTTGGTTGCCAGAGTACCACAGAGCGGATTCATGGTCTGATACCGGTCATGTTAAAACACCGGCTCGTCCCACCACCAGAGGAAACATACTCTCTGCATCGCAAGATGGGAGGCTCCTTCCTCATCTGCTCCAAGCTAAAGGCTCAGATTCCTTGCAAGAACATGTTTGAGGAGATCTACAGGAATTATTGGAAGGGAAGGGAAGACAAGAAACCATAACTTCTCGGCCATTTAACCTTATTCCAGATGTCTCTTGTCTGTTAATCCTAGTAAAACAGTATATAAAGCTTGGGGGTCCCTCTAGCCACAGGTACAACAACCCTTATTGCTGAAAATGGCCCCTTATTTGGATTTTTTTTTTGTATCTCCAGTGACTTTTTTTCTTCCTCGTGGCTTAAGATGGGCTTGGAAATCCTAGATTGTATATTGTAAGTGAGAAGGAGAACTGGACCTTTTAAAGACTATAAGATGATCATGAAGAAATCTTTAGCTCTGAGAAGAGAGGCGAAATGTGGAGATACACTGACCGCTGTAGAAAGATGTAAAGTGATGCTGTTTGAACGTTACAGTAAAGTAAGGAGACTGCTCTGCAACGTGGTGGAGAGATTTTGCTTTTACTTTATGTAAGCTACAACTGCAGTGCACTTCAGTTTTCTGTAATCATCTTTGGTTTTGTCTAATCAAATGAAATGCTTTTTGTACAGTGAAACTGATTTTGGAGCTATCAGTCTAATCACAGTGGGCTCTCGATTTAAATGATTTTAGAAGCTATCTTTTTTTTTTTTTTTTTTTTTTTGTCTTTTTGAAACCCTTGGGGTTGAGGAGAACATCGCTAAATATAGGACTCATTTTTTTTTTTTTTTTGCATTGTCATTTTGTACCTTCTTTTGAAATAAACAACTGGTTTCGATGACTGAACAGATATGCTTACTTTACCATACTCTAGAACCAACAATCTGTATATTTCCTCCGTGGACTCTGAACATTAATGTCCTTTGGTACTAGGTGGGATCACAACGACATGGTTTATAGATTTTTAATCCGAGGAGTCGTGAGTTGCTAGGGTGAGGGATTACAAGAACCTCTAAAAAACAATTTCTTAAATGCATGGTTCAAACGCACAAAAATGAAAACAAATCGAACTATATTGCTTGACTTGCTAATTATATATTTCTATATTCCTCCATGCTTTACACATCTACATTAAAAAGTCAGACATCACACTGCAAATCTATTTGTTCTGGAACGACAAGATACAGTTTCATATCCTATCGGCAACAATTTAGAAGACTGAGAATTTTGCTTTTTAACTTTTAATTGTGAGAAACGTTGGCCTAATCAAAAGACCCCCACCAGTTCAACTGTAATGAGCTTGCGGCTGTCTGAAAATCACTCCTGTTAACATGTACAAGGTTTAGTATGCTGTAAGCTGTTATGAATCTAATAGACTATTTGCTGGACAGTATGTGCCATGCCATTAAATAGCACTTAATACAGTCACAGATATCACATACTTGGTGACATTATGTTTGTGATCAAGAAAGATAATTATTCTACTTGCTAGTGATCGTTACAGCATTGTAAGGGACTAGATTAATTGGGTTTAGAATTTATTGGCTTCACATTGAGGGGGGAGAGAACAACGAGGGTACAAGTTAATACATTTTGTGGTAATTGGGGATACAGGCTTATTGCAGTGTTTTTTCTTATGTAGGTATGGATGGTAATCTGTCACACATGGTAATCTTTTGTAATTTCTACTAGTGTTGGCAGAGCGCCAAAGGTTGCTACTATTGGGATTGGGAGACCATTGTCGTCTGTTTATTTGGAAGATAAGATAATCCTGAAAGCATAGATTTAGTATTCTATCATTGCTTTATTTTTATTTTTTTACAAATAACTGGTTTGAATTTTCTAGGATAATAAAGTAATGCAACTTCAGCCTGGTTAAAAAAGGGGAAATGTCTCCTTCAGAGAGGATTGAAGCAGTTTAAATATGCACAAACTTGCATTGTTACTGAAAGTGCCAAATTACTGGAGATATTCCAGACCCGTCCTTTGTATGACAGCAGAATGTATAACTCCTTACTAGCAGGAATCCACATGCTCCAATCTGTTTTACAGTAACAGAGTTAGACTTCTTGTTCCATCCACCTTCTATGACCTGTTCCTTCCGAGGGCATTGAAAGCTTTGCTCGAGTCAGTCTGGTTTATAGGTTAGACTTTGCTGCACTAAATATTTTGACCATCTCTGCAAATGTATTTTTGCCAGAATTGTTACAGTTTTGATTTACATTAAAAGATTAATTTTTGAAAGGACTTGTGTTTTGTGTAATCTGTCATATAGATAAGACCTAGATTAGATATCTATTCCCAAAAGGTACCGCACTCCTTGAAATGTTAACTCCTCTGTATTCCTTACACAATAGAATCCATTTAAACAGCATTGCAATAGTAACGTTGTATTTACTACACCAGGGGTAGGCAACCTTTCAGTAGTACTGTGACAAAATAAAATGTTGACTTCCTTGGCGTGCCTTTTTTTTTTTTTTTTTTGAGCTATGTATATAGCCGTATTGTGCTTGGCTTATTTATAGGTGTTGCAGTTGTTTTGTAGCGTTGTATTTGTGTGTATGTGGGCTGCTATATTGTATACAATCACGAGAAGTTTGTGGTATTCTGTATGATACCTGTGAATGTGGGATGTGTATGGGGGCTGTTTATGGAATTGTGGGTGTGGATATGTCATATTGTTTGGGGTGTGTACGTGTGGGGACTGTGTGTTTTATGTAGGATGTTTGTATTATTTGTATGACTGGGAGGCTTCTTCTGTGTATATCTAGCAGTGTGGGTGGCTTCCCTGGGGTTTAGTAAGAACTGGGCTGGTCAGGTACAGGTTAAGGGCAGGAGCCGTGAATGCTGCTGTGGGATGCTCTACTCTAGTGCGGATTCCTGTTCACAAGTGCTGGGAGGAAGTGATTTGAGATCAATTCCTCTAAGTGCTGTAATCCATAAATTGAGGATTGTCCCTCACCACCTTTTTGCACTAGCAGATATATGAAGTTCCACTGTAACTCCAGATAGGCCAGCACCTGTTTGGCTCTAGCAGCCTTGAGTGCTGTGCAAAAGCACCTGAAGTGCCATAGGTTGCCTACCCCTGCTCTACACTATAGTTTCCTCTGGCCCGATCTTGAAAAAGACCTGAGTGGGTCGAAACCTAGATTAATCACAGATTAATTTGTTTTTTGAATACTGTATTAAACACAAGTGGGTTTTTCAAAGACTTAACAGCACTCCTTTTCTGCTTATGTCATACTATCTACACTGGCTGCACAAAGACTTTTTAAAAAATATATATAGTGTGTGTACACAGTAATACCCCTTTTTAATTCTATGGGTTTACATATGAAGACCTAACAATCATCTATTCCTTAGCACGTCTTAAAATCCAGTAAATAAAACCTCAGATGAATAGCACCTGACATATTACTCCATGTCATGATCTATTTGAGAAAATAAAGCCAAAATGGAGAAGCCATATGTGAAAACAAAGTACACCCTTACTGCTTTCAAAGGAATTAAGTGGCTAAATAGCAGACAAGTGCTGTTAATCAAATGCCCTTTATTGATTGGTTATCCGCACAATGCCAAGGAGGAAAGATGTCAGCAATGATCTCAGAGAAGCAATTATTCTGGAAAGGGTTATAAGGCCATTTCCAAACCATTCAAAGTCCATCATTGTACAGTGAGAGATTATTCAAAAGTGGAAAACATTCAAGATGGTTGCAATCTTCCCAGCAAATTCACCCCAAGATCAGACCGTTCAATGCTCAGAGAAATTGCAAATAACCCAAGAGTTACACCTCCGAAAAACAGGCCTCAGCATGTTAAATGTTATAGTCCATGAAAGTACAACTAGAAAAAGACTGGACAAGTATGGTTTGTTTGGAAGGGTTGCCAGGAGAAAGCCTCTATCTAAAAGGAACATAGCAACATGGCTTAGATTTGCAAAGTTGAGCAAACTACAAGAGTTTTTTTTTGTAACAATATCCTTTGGACAGACAAGAGCATAGTGGAGATGGATGTTTGTTTTTTTTTTTTGCCAAATGTGGAGCTGTGTTTTATGGCCAAACTCTGCATATCAAGCATGGTGGTGAAGGTGTGATTATTTGTTTTGCAGCCACAGGACCTGGGAACCTTGCAGCGATTGAACTCAGTCTGTATAATTATTGTAGAGTGAAATGTGAAGACCTCTGTTCGACCGTAAAGATTGGCTGAAATTGGATCATGCAAAAGGACAATCATCCTGAGCACACCAGCAAATCTACAACAGAATGGCTTAAAATAAAAAGAAACCAGGTGTTTCAATGGCCCAGTAAAAGTCCAAACCTCAACCCAATTGAAATGCTGTGGTGGGACCTTGAGAGAGCTGTGCGTAAACCAGTGCCAGAAAACCTCAATGAACTGTTTATGAATGGGTTAAGCCTTCCCGCAAAGCCACTATTGGCTGTCTCATTGACAGCCACTAGAGGCGCTTGTGTGCTTATCACTGTGATTTTCACAGTGAGAGCGCGCCAGCGTTCATAGGAAAGCATTGATAATGCTTTCCTATGCGACTGGCTAAATGCGCACGCAGCTCTTGCCACGCGTGCGCATTCAGCCGACGGGGCGGATCGGAGGAGGAGGAGAGCTCCCCGCCCAGTGCTGGAAAAAGATAAGTTTTACCCCTTTTCAGAGCTGGGCAGGAGGGGAACACTGAGGGTGGGGGCACCCTCAGGGCACTATAGTGCCAGGAAAACGAGTGTTTTCCTGGCACTATAGTGGTCCTTTAACATATTACACTGTGCAATTCTTTGTGTTCATCTGAGGTTGTAATTAATGGAAAAAACGCAAACACACCAAAACATTACTTTTAATTAATCTCTTAAAAAGCACCCTTTTAAATAGGGGCTATACGATACTAACTAAAATGATTGTATACAATCAAAATATTGTTTTAGATCACTATGTTTTGATATTTTGTTTTTTATTTTAGTTAGTGAGTATTGTATAGCCCCTATTTAAAAGGGTGCTTTTTAAGAGATTAATTAAAAGTAACGTTTTGGTGTATTTGCGTTTTTTCCATTATTGGGATTCAGTCAGATTAAAAGTTATTCCCTGGTTATACCAACAAATTGACTGCTACCTCCAACTTTTCTCTTTTCTTTATTCCATTTCAATAGGGGTTATCCCCCATATGGAGGTACCAGTTAGACAACGCTCCCTCTCTTTTTCTATTCCGATGAGGTTGTATTTCATTTTAAGACCGGATAAGGAGTGGATGATTATGATATGTAAAACTGTTGAATTCAAAGAGGGTACTGTGTGTGTGTGTGTATATATAAAATATAAACACACTCTATCAGAAAATCCTACCGTATTAACCAGGAACATCACGCTAGTAAGTAATGGTTTATCTTGTATAACTGACCTAAACGGTAACATTGAATCCATTAAAAAAATACATTTTCATTACATGTTCTGCAATATCCTTCAATTTCTGCTATTTTGGTCTTAAATTTGAAATTCACTTTACTTTTCTGATGCTGCTCCCATTAGTAAAAAAAAAAACTGTACATTGAATTTTTTTTTTTTAAAGTGGGCCCTCTAGTGGTGGTAATCACAGTAGCAAATGCCTTTTTTTTTTTTTGTTACAGACATACCTTCCTTTCATGGGAGTCAATAATTTTACTTCTATTTTAATGAAATTAAGAAAACCTACCTGTATATATCCAAAATAACAAATCCTAATTGGGGAATAAAGGGGGTTCTCTGACCTTGCTTTTACTAAATAAACATGTCCTGGGGCAGGAATGTCAAGTCCTACACTACCATGCAGGCAGTAGGAGTTACTCACCATTGCAAGCCATGAGGGTCTGGGACACAATTGCCGGGGCTGAGTTTCTACTCAATAGGACTAAATAGTAATTCACTACTGGCGAGTGGAAAATCTGAGCCTTGTCCAATTGTGACAGAGCTAATACTTTGACTTGTTTTTTTTCTTTTTAAAACTGTTCCTTTTCTATTTTTTATTTTTTTTAAGTAGTACACTTCTTGAGGGATCTTTATTCGATATAACTCAAAGGTGGGATTTTATTTTACACTTTTCCCCATTTATATAGAAGCTGTGCCTCGACCACCTACATCTTCCTCTATCGGGGGCAGTGGGGATGAGACATCTTATCCCATCAGGAGAGGAGGAAGATAGGAATAAAGAGGAAGCAAATTTTAATATCTTCCTTAAAAAGGTCAGAGAGACACTGCCAACCTTTCAAAGAAAACTAAAAATAAAGGAGCACTACAGGTATAGTCTGCAGCTGCTGGCTCTGCCCCTGTCTGCCTGCTCACATTAGAAATGCTTCCCTATTGGATTGGCTGAGATCAGGGGCAAAGCCAGCACATGTCAAAAACAGCCCTGGCCAATCAGCATCTCCTCATAGAGATACATTGAATCAATGAATCTCTATGAGGAAAGTTCAGTGTCTGCATGTAGAGGGAGGAGATACTGAATGTTGTGATTCAAACTAGGCAAGACTGAGATAGGAAGCCGCTCTAGCAGCCATCTGAGGAGTGGCCAGTGAAGTTATCACTAGGCTGTAATGTAAACACTGCATTTTCTCTAAAAAGACAGTGTTTACAGGAAAACGCCTGAGGGGTATGATTCTACTAACCAGAACAAATTCAATAAGCTATAGTTGTTCTGATGACTATAGTGTCCCTTTAAGTAATTTCTTTTTAGCTTTTTTTTTTTTAGTTCGAATGAAAATTAAGAAATTCAATAAATTATCATTTATATATGTCTATAACAATTCGTAGATCTAAATCTCTGCAGCCACCCCAAATTAGCAAGTGTAGAAATAGGGGAACTTCCTTATGCTACCAAGATAAGCTTTATAACTGCTAAATACCAGCCACCCCCTGATATGTACTGAATGAAGCCTCACTGTAATCTTTTATTTCATGCTTTCAAGGTCAGCTGATAACCCTATTGGCTGCAATGAGCATAAAGTGACCTACTGCCTAAATAGTGCAAAGCTAAAATACTAAATACTGTGCCTTCTAGGCCACCTATCATATAGACGCCTATGGTACATGTGGCACAGATACTATAGGAGGTTCTTTAAACATAAATAAAAAAAAATGTCTGTTTCTTTTAAAAGGTTGTGAGTTTCTCTCGTCTCTATTGTCATCAGATATGGTCACATGTGGAAAGCCACCAGAAACCTTGGGATTTGTGAGTAGGACACAAGTGACTTCCTTGCTTCTCCTGTATAAGAAATAAGAGTTTGTGAATAGCACATTCGTGGGTGACTTTCATTTCTCCCTATGAGAAATCAATACAATTGTATGTGCACATATGCACCCACAAAAACAGCTATAGGGGACCAGAGATCCGTGGAGAGATCTTAGCAATTTCCTGGTTTCATTGAGAACGTTATTTAGCTCTCTGAATGATGGACTATCTAAAATAATAATACAAGAGCGGGACTTGATCTCCATGCCAGACAGTCACAGTAAACATGAGCTCCTTGACAAAAGTCTCTAAAATGCCAATTTGCCTGGACTAGCAACTGTGGCTTACTTGTTCCAGTCTAACACCCACTTGGCACCCTTCTTGTGAGTTTAAGTGATCTCTGATGCTGCTGCTGAGTAGGTGTATCCTTCAGTTTCTGCAGCCTGGTGTGTTCGTTTGAGGGAAGGAGACAATCTCTTTGATTGGGATTACCTAGGTGTCACTGCTAATCTACTGAGGCCCACACTCCCCCTCTGCCGGGGGTTATTCTGGTCCCCACCATGCACGTTCATACCTTTTGCTAAATCGTGCCGTTTTAGTCTTCGTGCCACTAGAAGAACAGCCTTGGCCAGGCAAGGTCCAGCTTATGTGCTCACTGTACATTATTTCTCAAAGTCTGACCTGCATTCTTAATGAATGAGCAGATCCTCAGGATGAATAGATAGAATAGCCAAAGAGCACCATATTGTATACTGAGATAATGCAACCTCTACATTGTATTTTTTCTTTCTTAAAATAAAGTAGCATTCGAATACAGAAGATACAATTGGGTAAATCCTTAAATTTGTCACCTTTCCAAGTGCTTACCTTGCTTGGGCAGCCATCTTGCTTTCCATGAATAGTCTACCCCAAAGTTAAGAGTCAAATTGCAGGAGGAATAATGAGAAGAGAGCTGCAATCAGGATGTGAGGCTCAATGAATAATACTAAAATAAAAAGCAGAGGCAATTTGTCAAGCAAAATTTAACGAGGTACAACTCTAAGATGGCGATCCCGCTGTAAGCCAAAGCAGGTTAGTGTCTTTGCGAGGCCAGCTTCTAATGATATTCAGTTCGTGGACGCTCTGATAAGGAAATAGTTATATGCTCTGAAGGGCCTACTGGTGGAAACGAAGGCAGATGAGCAATGGCAATTTAGCTTAATATTTGTTTTCTGGCTCTCAACCTTTTGAAAATAAAACCAGCTCCTGTGGAACTTGGGATGTTGCTCACCTGTTGGCTTTTTTTTCCTTTCAGTAAACTAGAAGAATTCAAAGAGGAAAAATACAGCCATCTTCACAGACACATCTACAGTGGACAAACATGGGCACATCATCATAACAGGGTTCTAGATCAGATGGGTTTAATGGAAATACACTGGTTAAACGTGATTCCACCCTGGAGGAAGGCTTTCTCTGTCCTAGAACCTGACCGTGTTTGGCCCAGACCTTTCCAAGAACGGTCTCTTTGCACACATGCTCACAGATATCCGTTTGTGGTCCTACTTCCGTAATGCAATCTATACATGGCTTTGATTGACAGAACTGCTAGAGCCGCAAGGTGTGATGCAATATCTAGCCCTGCAAGTTCCATCAACAAACTGCATAGCTGCCTCACTCCTACAGTACGGTTCATAACTCCTGACGTGTTTATTATGGACATGTGACTCTGCTGTCCACATCTTCAGTCTACTAGTAGCCATTTGCCCCCTTGCCAGCAACTCAATGAATTTGAGTTACTGAACTCTCACATTTTAGTTTGATTAAATGATTACTGCAACCACAAAACAGTGTTTTAAACCCCCCAAAGTAAATAAATGAAATCACTGAAACACACCAAGGAGCACTAAGGCCACGGCCAGTTCAAGGATTTTTGGCTACACAGGCTAAGATCCATTTTGCTGCCCCCCCCTCCATTCCCCTTCCCTAAAATGCACCTTAATCCTCCTCTTGAATTACTTACTTCCTTTAATGTTTCTTATCCTCTTTTAAAATGTCTTACCCCTTTTAGTGGATCTTAACCCCCCCCTTGTCTCACACTCCTCTTTAGTATATCGTATAACCCCATTTTCTTTCTCCCCACAGCCCCTTGTCGCTATCTACCACAACCACTGCCTTTTTGTACCCCCCCCAAACCCCTTCATGTGTCTCATTTCATCCCAGTCTCTCCATATGCTTAATTCCCCACCAGCTCCTCCTTGCATCTCATTCTCCCCATTCACCCCCAGTCCCTCCATGCCTCTCATTCTCTCATCTCCCCAGTCCCTCCATGCCTCTCATTCTCTCCTCTCCCCAGTCCCTCCATGCCTCTCATTCTCCTCTCCCCCAGTCCCTCCATGCCTCTCTCTCCTCCCCCCAGTCCCTCCATGCCTTCTCATTCTCCTCTCCCCCCCCAGTCCCTCCATGCTCTCATTCTCTCCTCTCCCCAGTCCCTCCTCCATGCCTTTCATTCTCTCCTCTCCCCAGTCCCTCCATGCCTTCATTCTCCTCTCCCCCAGTCCTCCACCTCTCATTCTCTCTCCCCCCAGTCCCCCCATGCCTCTCATTCTCTCCTCTCCCCTGTCCCCCCTCTCATCTCTCTCTCTCCCCCCAGTCCCACCACCTATCATTCTCCTCCTCCCAGGCCTCTCATTCTCTCCTCTCCCCCCCACCTCTCTCTCCTCTCCCCCCCAGTACTTACGCCTCTCATTCTCTCCTCTCATCCCCAGTCCCTCCATGCCTCTCATTCTCTCCTCTCATCCCCAGTCCCTCCATGCCTCTCATTCTCTCTCTCATCCCCAGTCCCTCCATGCCTCTCATTCTCTCTCCCCCAGTCCCCTCCATGCCTCTCATTCTCTCCTCTCCCCAGTCCCTCCATGCCTCTCATTCTCTCTCCTCCCCCCCAACCCCCCCGTCCCTCCATGCCTCTCAATCTCTCCTCCCGCCGGTCAATGCATGAAGCGTGGCCAAGCAAAGGACGCGGTAGAGAAGCCTTTGTTTCCTTTACCCAGTCTGCCAGGGAGTTGAGCAATTCCTGTCAGACCAGGTAGAGATTACAGAAGCTTCTTTACCCCTTCCTCAGCTTGGCCGCGCTTCATGCAGTGACTGGCGGGAGGGGAGAAATTACCGCAGCTCGGTCACGCAACAAGAGGGAGGTGAGCAGGGTAAGATGCATAGGGGGATAAAACAGGCATAGAGGGGACATATAAACGAATCCTGCACCCCCTGGGTCCGATATACCCTGCTGCCTTATGGTAGCACCAGTCCGGATCGAGGCCAAGTAATTCTTCAGCTCGATTCTCCCTCGCTGGTAACGCACAGAACTGACATTAGCCAGAATGGAACTCTTGTTCTGGGCTGGCTTATGACACTCCAATGACATTGCCGCAGCTGGAGTTACACCTCCAGCAGCAAAGGCGTCAAACTCAAACTCCAAACGCTGTCATGATAACTTCAAATCAGTGAAGTGGTTGTGGTGCTTAAATCATCCCTTTAAAGGACCACTCTAGGCACCCAGACCACTTCAGCTTAATGAAGTGGTCTGGGTGCCTGGTCCCTCTAGGCTTAACCCATTTTTTTATAAACATAGTTTCAGAGAAACTGCTATGTTTATAAATAGGTTAATCCAGCCTCTAATGGCTGTCTCACTGACAGCCGCTAGATGGGTTTGTGTGCTTCTCACTGTGAAAATCACAGTGAGAAGATGCCAGCGTCCATAGGAAAGCATTATGAATACTTTCTTATGAGACTGGCTTAAAGCGCGCGCAGCTCCTGCCGCGCATGTGCATTCAGCCGAAGAGGAGAGCTCCCCACCCGGCGCTGGAAAAAAAGATACGATTTAACCCTTTCCTCACCATCCAGCCCAGCGGGAGTGGGACCCGGAGGGTGGGGGCACCCTCAGGGCACTATAGTGCCAGGAAAACGGGTGTGTTTTTCTGGCACTATAGTGGTCCTTTAAGCAATATTGCACATTTATTTCCTGAGATACTCATCTGATTTTAGCAAATTTTAATCCAATGAAAATATGTATTCGGGGAAACAAATCCAATTTTGGAAACATGATTATTAATGGTCACAGAACAACAGCTGCAGGAGTCAATCCTGCTGATTTAACATGGTCTTGCATTCTATTGATGATGAAAGAAAATGATGAAACATTTAAACATATTTAGAAATGAGGGATGGGAAAAAAGCAATGTTTTCTAACAGTTCCCTGTTTTATTGCAATACATCAAAGTCAGGTTAATATATTTATTGAGTGTTGTCAACATAAAATATTGGTGGTTAGTCTTTTATTACATGGTCGAGGTCCACCTTAAATATAGTCTGTGCAAAAGAATTTACATCCTTGTTTCATAGCAGAATTGTCCCAACAACATGACCAAATGCAATCGTTCCCACACACTTGTCAGATTTTATAATCTAGAACAAAATAAGTGATTACATCCAAGACATGCAAAACAAAAAAACTCCAAAACTGTACAATATTATTACAATAAAAACAAAATAATCCTAAAAAATATTCCTTTAAAAAGAATTGATATGAAACTCATTACATAAAAAGGGCAGATACAAATTCAATGAAATGGAAAAAGCCAAAAGAATAAAAAATAAAATAAAATAAAATGTACTTTTGTTTTTTCCATAGAATGTGTAGGGAGGTCCCATATTTTTATTGCATAAAAAAAAAAATATATATATATATTTTCATATCAGCTTTAATGCAAAGTAATTTGGAATTAATCTGAATGCCATATATGTAGGTTATTGCTATGAGAAAACGATAGCGATATTTTTGATTTTCCGGTGAGGTCTCGAACTCCGTTCAGGACAGCTTGCGTTGTACAATGATATCTCAAAAATATAATTTATTTTATTATCTATTTACCTATGTATTATGAGGCCGCTTGCCTAGCGTCAAGAACATACGTTGAATGGATCTGTCCTGGACTATTTTGCAAGTGCCTGGGTATGTGAGATTTCACACTGGGTGAGGTCGGGACCCCTATGTAAGCCCCTCCAGTTGGTGCAGTACTCGAGGTAAAAAAAGAAGGGGGGTCTACGATGTATTGGAAAGACACCTACTGATCAAAAAGCAGTTGGTTTAAAGGGTCTGTCATGCACAATTTGACAAAGTTCTGTTTTCCTCTGTAACTTTGCGCTAACAAAATATTTTGATGAAATAATTTGCAAACAAGTTACAGCCGTTAGTGCAATGACTGTCAATCTGGTTTCGAGATTGTGTTTCCCCATTTTAGCTGTTTTCGTAAGCCGGCTCTCAATCTATTTAGTAAAGGAAACCAATACTGAAGAATAGGGTTGGGATCTATTTTTATAAACTGTGAATTGTGGTGAATCAACAAATAAGTTGAAAATGTTAGGCCTAAGTAGTTAAATAGAAAAATTCTCCAACTGAACTTTATATCCACCTATTTCGCTAAATAAGCCAAAGATTTTCAATTTCACACAATTCCCAGATTTTGTGAATACACTCTTATGCATAACACTAATCAAACTATAGTGAATGTCAGGATAACAGCCTTTATAGCAGAAGACCAGCTGTATAGTATATATAATGATATACTATGTTATTACTTAGTAAGATGAATAGGGTCAAGCCATGAATTTAAACCTAGGTACTCACTTTGTATCATTCGAGCAGATTGATAAAAGTGTCACGGGAACAGAAATAGCTTATTGTGAGATCCTTTGTAACTGCAAAGCAGACACCACTGGGAAAACTGCAGCAAAATAAAAAAAAAGACCTAACAGGTGGGTGTGTGAAAGTATAAGCAAGTTGCAAATGTACAACATTGTGTATATCTTAATATATATATTGGTATAATTTTATATAGCCATAATCATAGCTTGAACGCTACAGATAAAATCTGTACTTTAAAAATATATATATATATCAAAGATTCTCCCATATCTCTTAATCTACTTTTCAAAAGCAGAGACACAAATAAGTCTCCGGGGCTCACAATTTCTGGTTATATTTGCATTAATATTGGTTGTATATATTATGGCAATTCTCTATTTTGTTGTGTGTGCGTGTCTATATAATGTCAATCTGTCCTTTCCTATGTTGCGTGTATGTTGTGTATATAGTGACAATCACTTCACTGTTGAATCCATTGCATTTGTGTTGACTATGCAGGGACTATCGATCCATGTAGTGTGACAGTTACAGATGCTGGGACCTTTCAGAAATATTCAGCAAGCTGACGTGTTTTATGTTTTAGGAATTTTCTTTCAATGGTTCCTGTGTGAAGGTGGACACGATGGATGCTATATAGAATTAAATGGTTCCTGTGTGAAGGTGGGCACGACGCATGCCATATAGAATTAAATGGTTCCTGTGTGAAGGTGGGCACGACGCATGCCATATAGAATTAAATAATTTCTGTTTAAAGATAGGCACGATGGACGCCATATAGAATTAAATGATTCCTATGTGAACATGGACACGATGGACGTGGTATAGAAAGAAAGGATTCCTTTGTGAAGGTGGGCACGAGGGATTCTGTATAGAATTAAATGGTTCCTGTGTTAAGGTTGGTACGATGGA